GTGTCGGGGGAGAAGTATGGCCCTCCTATTCATGGATTGCGGTGCGCTCTTGCAGGTGCTCCGTCACCCAGCACGAGACCGTGTCGACGCTCACCTTGTGCAGCGTGTTTGGCTCAGTGACGTGTGGGCTGGTCCATCTGCACTGCACAGCACACCTGGGGGAATGATTCGGTCTGTCGAGGCGTCGGTCCAGGGCCACCTCTCTGAAGGGTGTCATCCGAAGCATCAGAAGCGATCAGGACCAGTTCATCGAGGTCGTCTCTCTCTACAACCGGCGCCCGTCTACTCGAGGGTGTCAGGCACTGCCAGCTGCTGCAGCAGACCCCAGGCAGGTGGCCCAGACCACCACTCTTCGGTACGGTCAGGATCAATCCGCCTCTGTCAGCCAAGCACTCCAGGGCTCCCATCTCTTGCCGAGGGATTCACATAGGTCACGTGTGGGTCCATCTCGACTAGCGGGCGATGATCCTGGCCAGCGTTGGCCTAGTGCGGCGAGTGATCGGCGCATCCATCACCAGTTTCAGGCCCTCTATTGCCTTGGAGAAAGCACAAGGCTCTTCTACCAGGAGTGGACGACATCTGATTTTCAAATTTCAGACTCTAGATTTGGATCCCCGTTGATGAACGAGCAAGAGACACACCTACCTAGAATGGCGCTGCATCTTCTTGATTCAAGAAAACATTTACTAGCACATACTGCGAGATTATCAATGCAGATTATGCTATGATAAATAACTAGTCAGTTTCATACTCCACACATTCGGGGTTGGTGTCAACAGAGGTCGGTTCCATATTTTTCTGAGAGTTCATAAGACGAGTTTCTGAAGTAACATCGAGTTGTTGAGCTGGCTTACGTCGAAAAACGAAGAAGAGTCCAACACCAATACACACTAGGAGAACTAGGACAACGATCCCAACGGATGAAGCGAAAATCGTCTTCTTACTCATTCGCACAATCTCCTTACATTGCCCATCAGTGGTCAGTTCTCCAGAAGAGCACCGTACGCATACTTCGGTGCTCTCTCCTGATGTAGAATCTGTGCGAAAGCTGCAACTAGAGCAATCACTAATTGTACAAGGATAGCAGAGAGCCCCCTGCATTCCATATCCAACGCCACAGGCGCTGCACTCACCAGTGGATTGATTGCAATCAATACAGTTAGTATCTGGGCAAGCTACAACACAGGCCTTTTCATTTGCATTCCATAGATAGCCGCTAGAACACGTGGCACAAACGTCTCGGTTGTTGGCCAGGCACACCAGGCAGTTTGAGATGCTGCAGGAGTCCACGTCTACGTCTGGGGAATTCAATACGCAAACGTCGACCGTCAACGTATAACCGTCCTCGCACGCAACACAGATGCTTGCGCTCTTACAGTCGAGGCAGTTCCCGACACAACGTGCACACCTGCCCCCAACAACATAATATCCCTTTTGGCAACGCTTGCAAGTCTCTGTTCTCTCTGTGACGGTGCAGCTTCTGCAGTTGGGGCTCTGGCATCCATTGACAGGAACGCACTCCTTATTATCGAGCATAAAGCCTGCAGCACACTGAACGCACGCTCCATCATCTCCACAGAATCTACAGTCGTCAACAAGGGCCAGTTGATCAGCTGTGCACTTTGTCCCCACACAGTTTGGCCCGCCTTTGCCATCAGGGCACGGCGTGCAAGAGCCCGTCTCATTGGGACCATAACCATCAATGCAGAGCTGGCACGTTGGTTCGCCTTCTGTACACGTATGGCAGTTATCGTAGCGGGTCCCAGAACACAACACCGCATTGCATGTAATCCCATCACTCAATCTATTGTCTGGACACGGTGTACAAGTAATGGAGTTACTAGACTCCTTGTAGTACCCATCTTTGCAAACTTTGCATGCCCCTGGCTCCAAGATTGCATCTTCAGCTGAGTAGCAAGTCGCACAATTCTCGGATATCTTTCCATTGCATTTAGTCTTCTCGCAATTGTAGCCACCGGTATTCCCTTGACATTGAACACACTTTCCAAGCTCATTAGGATGAAAGTCGTCGTAACACCGGCTGCAACGATTCGTCCCAGAAAGACACTCGAGGCAATAGTCTCTGGTTGTGGCCAGACACCTCATCGAAATGCACTCTGGTCCGATTCGGCCATCGGGGCACGCTTCGCACTTATTGGTCTCTGGAATCAGCTTGTAAGAATCCTTGCAAACTGCACAGGTCCCCTCTGTTGCAGTATCACAAGTCTTACAATTCGTTAGTGCAACCCCATTACAGATGAGGTCCTGACACTCATAGCCTCCGGTGCCTTCTGCACACGCACCACAGCCCCCATACCACGTCACATAGTACCCGTCTTCACAAGTCCAGCACCGGTCTGTGCTACTACATTCTAGACAATTGACACGTGTGGTAAGCCAGCACTTGCGTGTGGAACACCTGGGACCCCATGTACCCTTTGGGCATGGAACGCACTTGCCCGTTTCCACGTCTAGCTTATAGTCATCCTGGCATATCATGCAGTTATCGGGGTAGTCTGGGACGCACTCGGTGCAGTAGTCAACATCACAACTGGCAGATGTAGAAGACCGCACCAGAAGAAGCACGACTGACATAGACATCAACATTTTATTGCAATTTTCAGCAAGTAGCAACGTGATAATTTCCCTGTAATCTATCGTTGGTTACTACGCGTGGTCTCCAGGGAGCCACCACTAAAGTGGTTGTACTTGTTGTTTACCCAAAACGTAGCCGAGTCTTACATTCTTCCAGTCAATAAGTTTGTCAAAATAAAAGCACAACCCTGAAACGTACCGGCCTACTTACAAGCGCGTGCATAATGTGGTCGACGGAGAGCATATGAAGCATAGCTGATGTCTCCATGCGCGGATCTCTGCTTCGGCGTTAACTAATAACAGCCCCGTACTAAATGAAGGGTGGCCTACTTAACTCTACCAAGGCCAAGATAGCGACATATCTCAGATTGGATTTCAGGTCGGAGAGCCGCCGGCGCCGTAGAGCCTGCGGCTAGCTTCTGTAGTGCTGCCTCTCCGAACTATGGGGCACAAGCTGGAGCTAGGATCCTTATGCACGACAGTTGTCCGTACTTCACCGCAAGATCGAGAGCCGATTGGTCATTCTCATCAACCAAGCCCAGCTCGTAGGGGACGAGATACTTGACTATGTTTGGATGATCCCACGCCGCAGCGTGCATTAGCGCTGTCCAGCCTAAGAGTCCTGCTCGCCCGCCTCGGCACTTCGTAAAACTTGAACTGCCTCGACGTGCCCCACCTGCGCTGCAATCATGAGAGACGTCATCTGCTGCTTGATCTCTGTCATCTTTTTTTCATACTCGCCCAGCCACTTCAGGCATCGTACGCTTTTCGCGACGATTGCCAGCATCAGTGCTACTGGCTTTCCGATCTCTTGCTTGTTGCTCAGGTGTATATTGCTGGATATGCGTATCCCCGACTCATGAGGCGCCAGGAGCCGGCATGCCTCTGCACTATCCTTCTCCGCAGCAATCATGAGCGCAGTTCGATCGTCCGGTCTCCGCATCCCCTTCTCACTGGCGATCAAGTGCTTGATTGCTGGGATGTTATTGCTATACACAGCGATCATCAGGGCTGTGCGTCCATCGTTTGTACGCCGGCGGATGCTATCCTTGTATTGCACCAGTGGCTCTGCAGAGCGCATTGCTACGGCTATCATCAGCTACGTAAAACCATCTTCCCCCAGCAGGCACTTTTCATGTGTGATAAGCAGCTTCAAGCACGCAACTCGACCCATCTCTATGGCGTAGCGTGAAGCGCACCAGCTCATACTATCGCGTCTTCCGGCCTGGTACGGTATCAGAATCTTTAATCACGCACAGTCTCCTTCCCGCGCAGCCAACATCAAGAGAGTTCTACCTGTTACAGATCCCTCGAGAATAGGTATTGGTAGGTCAGCTTCGTACTTACAGAGCCTTTCCATAACATTTAGGTTCTTGTTCTCATATGCATGATAGAGGGCAGTCTTTCCTTTGAAGTCGGCAAGACCCTTCTCATAAGGTCCGAGGACATCAATGAGACGCAGTGACTGGCGGTCAATGCAGTACATAAGAGCGGTCTTCTGGAGAGAATCCTGGACTCCGTGTTCATGCCGTGCCAGGATCATTGCAATGTCGTAGTAGCTTTTGCGGAGCGCAAGCATAAGTGCTGTGTACCCCTTATCATTACGGCGTTTAGCGTGTGCTTTCCTTAACGAAAAAACAGCATCAGTATCATTATTAGCAACTGCTTAGAACAGTGCATCCGGCCCAGGAGCAGAGATAGCCGTGTTCCAAAGTTTCATTATTGGGGCTGAGTAGATGCTGCGCTGTGACTCTCTTGACGTCGCCCTTGTTCGTCGACCCAGGCAACTAAAGAGTCCCCGAATCAAGAGCGCACTTGGCTCCGAAGGGTCAGGTTGGTCTAGACCGCGAAAATGGCGTGCCACTAGTGACTGCGAGGACCTGCAGATGGGAGAATCCTTACCAGGATAAGACAATGGACGCACAATACTGACGCGCGCCCACGAGATTTGGAGATGGGCGGGCTCACGGGGGTCGATGAGAGAAGTAGCCTGCAACGGGCCAGCCCGCCCCCATTCACAGAAGGGCAAAGCTCGCACCAGAGGAGCGGTGTGGGCACAAGAAGCCCCGTCATGCGCGGGTCACGACGTCGGCTCCGGGTCGGCCAGGGCCAGACTTCGCGCGGCCTGCCTTTGCGCCCCGCCCCGGTCCAGGGCATGCGCGGGCGCCCCTGTTTGCGCACCGCTAAGGGAGGGTATGTATGTTTGCAGATCGAAAACGCTGCCTAGCGTTGTTCAATTGCGATGGCTTCTCAATCGCGTTCAGTAAATCGTACGTGGATTCATTTACGCCGCTATAATTTGTTTAGTTATGTCTAATGATCTCTGACGACGATGCATCTTTTTGTACAGCTCAGGTGTAAATCTTGTTTGTCGGTAAGGTGAGAAAAATCATTTGCTTTTAAAAATGTACCCATACTATCCTCCCCCTTATCCGTACTATAGCCCGCATCATCTGCGCTCTATGTATCCTCCGCCATACGTGGAGGACGATGGAGAATATGATGAGCAAATGGTCGGATATTCAGCGCCTTCTGTTGGCCATTATATCGCAGGAAACCAAGTGCCGCCATCAAATGCTATCATAAGGGTTGGGTCTGCACGTGGCCAGCGCAGCCACCAAGCCAGACACTTTGGTCCCCGCACGATGCAGTCGCAAACTTTAGATCAAACAATAGTCTCCAATATCCTCGACCGTCTGGAAAGCATTGAATCTAAGTTACCAGCGCACAAGGACACTGCGGATCCTTCTTCAGAACATGCACTGGCGCAACTTAAGCTTCGTGAAGATCGCTTAAAAGAGGCTGAGGCAGAGTTGGCAAAGCGATCAGTTCAACTGGATGAAAAGGCCTCTGCGCTTCAAAAGCTTAGCCACGAACTTGCAAAACAAGCAAGCATGATCGACACTCTTACCAAGACTGGAGCTGCTTCTTCCAGCGGGTCTGACAATGACCCTGCACTCAAGGCAGAGATGGAGAAAATCATCAAATCGCAGGAGGGCGTTATCAAAGAGTGGCAGACGATTTGGGGTGTGATTAATGATGTGTTCTTTAAGTTCTACAACATCTGCGCAATGACCCTACCGGGAATACCCGAGCACAGTTTCAACCCTGGAGACCCCATGGCCATTGTGGTTGCCATGCAGCACCTCATCACTGGCTTCGCATCGTCTGTTCTTCCAAAGGAGGAACTCGATGCCCTAAATGCTCAGAGAGGAGACAGTGCCGCGCTAAGCCAGGAGGTTAACCAGGAGGCCGAAGGCGACGATGACGACCCCGACAACCTCGACTAGTATGGTGCCCAACTGACAAATGCGTAACTGTGAATTTGCACACAAGCTCCTTTACTTTTGATCCGTCGCTTAGTCTTTTCATGTGCTGGGTGGGTGGCCGCAAACCAAACTACAGAAGCCATCCCAGCATATCAATCACAAGGAAAATCGCAAGGAGTTGGGACATCCTATCAGCACGTCTAATGCTCATAGCTAAATTACCAATATTACTCTGATACGGGCTAAGGAGATAATATTGGCTTGGAACGTCGCAGGACGGGTCACACACTATCTTTAGGCTCTCGTGCTCTGCACTGGAAACCCAGTCTGCAAAGGAGCTTGCAGTGGGCCAGTTTGCGTAAACGCTGGGCTCAGAACGCGACGCCATGACCTCTACCTGTCGCCCACCAAAATTCCACGCTTTCAGTAGGCCCTTTTGCTTGTATTGACGAGTAAGACTGGGCTTAAAGACGACAAAGCTGCTTTCGTGAGTTGGAAGAGAGGTGATTCTATAGGCCTCCTGGCTGGCGTTCTTGAGTGCCAGGCTTTTGTCAACCGCAGCAATAAGTAGTAAGAGCAGCACTATGCAGCGTACAAGACGCATCCTTCTGGTAAGCCATCTAGTTCCCCTCCTCAGCTTATCTCTAAGTGTCATTGATTTTAATTTTGGGAACTTAATGTGGTAGTGGATGAGCCACTCCTGACCATTGTACCAGCAGCTGAATGAGCCCCATCTGATGTAACACATAGTTTTAGTCAGTATAAATTTCCATTTCAATGACCAAGCGATGCCCTGTTCTCTCCACTAATTGAAGCATGTGATCTGGACATTCTAGTTGCCCCCAAGATCTACGTAATCATGAACCAACTGATCAATTATTTTCCAGAAAATACATTAAGGCTTATAATGGCGTCCTGAAGCATACGTGATTGGAGTTATATTTTGGCAACTCTATCTACTTCAAAGAAAGACTAGTGCTGCATACACGCATAGAGGAGTTAAGGAGCAAGGTAGCCAAAGTAGGGCTATATAGACAGTGAGATGCTGGTCCCGACAGTTCATCTCCCATGAGCGTGCTCTCTGGCCCAAAAGGCACAATATACAAGGCTTACAGTTCCTGTAAGCTCGATTGCTTTTTAATTAATAGTTTATCAATCGGTCGTAGTGTGGCCGTTTTTGCGATTATTGCCTGTATATCTTTTTGAAGTAGAGGTGATATTTTATAAGCCTATACGGGTTCCTCGGTCATCTTTATCCTTGCCCACGTCACTGTGCTATGCAACAGAAGTCCCGAGCACTCTGTTACAATTCAGCATTGTCTACTCCTAGGTCAGATCTTAAGGTCCAGAGGCTTTTCTTTTTTTACTTTTGTAAGGCATACGCCCTCTTACTCAGAGTAGACGTGACCACCCACAGCTTTCGACACCTTTATGCCACCAGCCAAAGGATCCACTTTTTTGGTACAGGCTGTGCGAGGCGGATGTCTAGGACTGTTACAGGATTTGACTGAGGACGAAGTGGGCCAGAGGGATGAGTACGGCTTTACTGCGCTGATGTATAATGCACTACTGTATGAAGAAATACTTGACCCCATACTGCTCAACGAGGCTGGTATTAGATCTGGTGAGGGAAAGTTTGCGCTCCTCTACGCATTGGAGAAGCGGCACTTCGGTATAGCAGAAGCACTCGTACCCACGGAAGGGCTACTCGCTGATTCGCATGGCTATCCTTCGATTATCTACGCCATCAGGCATGGCTGTGAAAAACTAGCTGTAAAGCTCTGGCATGCGCTCGTGTCCAGTGGTACACATCCATATGACATTGTTACTGACGATGCCAAAACGCTTTGCATGTGGCTAGCGGAATACGGTATGCCAACTCTACTCCGAGAGTACCTTAAAGCGGACGGGGTGCTCTATGCCACATACTGTGACCTACACGGGAGAACAGCGCTCATGTATGCTGCCCGAGCAGGTCACAAAGACTGCGTGAGAGGGCTTCGGTTTTTCTGTCCGCTTGCCCGTGACTGTGATGGCATGAACGCTCTGATGCACGCTGCGCAGCGAGGCAACGCAGACTGTGTGGAGGCATTGCTAACCGGCTACGCATCTACGCTGGATATAGGTGAGACTTGCATAGAAGGGCATAATACTAATGTCAACTTATTTCTAGGCATGCAGGACAACACAGGCAGGACGGCCCTCCATTATGCCATCTTTGCGGCCTCCTCTCCGTGCATACGCCTTCTCATCCATGAACGCGGCATTGTGGACGTCTATGGATACTCTGGGGGCCTCTATTTATTTAGAAATTCCATTTTACAGATATATCTCAGATTGATGATGGTTTCAAAAAAGTGCGATGATGTGCACATAGCCTCCATTGTCTCTGTAGAGGATGTGATACGCGAAGTGCGAGAGCACCTATTACACAAGTCCCGTGAGTTCCAGAGAATATTGTACACACTTGTAGACATTTTGTTTGCTGCGTTGATGGGAGACGACGAACTTTTCGGAGAACATGAAGAAAAAGAGCGCACTAGCCACAAATTTCGAGCTAAGCGCGAGACCTCGATCCAAAAGACAGGAAGGTGTACTGTGCGGAATCTCGAGTCTATCTTTGATCGTGTACCTATGGACCCCTCTGTCTTATGCTGCATCTGTAACGTGCGCTTATCGTCGTATGTGTTCTATCCATGCAGACATGTGTGTGCATGTTCCGTCTGCTTTTCCACCATTGAGGATTCCTGCCCTCTCTGCTTCAAGACCACTTATCACGCTGACAGACTGCAATTAGAGGGGGAGTAGATTGCTGCCAACAGGGGTGTGGTGTACTCTTTGTAAAAAATGAGCGGAGACACTAGTGAGATATTTGATGTCTACGCCAGTGATCTCACTCAGGCAATGCAGGAGATATCTTCTTTGCTTGCAGACTACCCCATAGTAGCCATTGACACGGAGTTTCCCGGGTACTTTGAGAACACTGTGCAGCTCTCCCTTCTTACTCAGCGTCAGATTCTTTCAAAGCATGCCTCTGCGTATGCTGCATATAAGATAAACGTAGACTCTCTCCAGCTTATACAGTTGGGCATTTCCCTCTCCAACAGTGCTGGCGAAACCCCAAAGCCCCACTCAACGTGGCAGTTCAATATGTTATTTGACGAAACAACACCGCTTTCAACCTCCAACTCCATGAATCTCCTTCGTGAGCATGGCATAGACTTTCCCCGCCTTAGTAGAGACGGGATCCACCCCGTTGCTTTTTCGTATGAAATTCAGATAAGCGGTCTGATTTATAATCGTAGCCTAACATATGTGTGCTTCCACGGCTCTTCTGACTTTGGGTATTTGACCAAAGCCGTCACATGCAACGATCTTCCCTACTCCAAGAAGGACTTTGATGAGTTGTTGCGCATACTTTTCCCGGGCAAGCTATACGATCTTAAGCACTGTGGCTCATGGTCAGGATCATTGGAGAGTCTGGCTGGGTCCTATGGGGTTCGATGGCAGGGGTTTCAACACCAGGCTGGTAGCGATGCGCTAGTAACTCTGAGGACCTTCCACTTACTGAAGGATAATGTAGACTTTCTAACCCCGGCAAACGATCATGTGATATATGGGTTTCACTAACTCAGGCTGATATATCAATCGACCTGCCGACAGTTTGCTCAACTCAAACTTGGTGACGCCAAGCGCTGGTGTACGGGATTACCCGTGCTCGAGAGGTGTGTATAGTAAACAATTATTTACATTCTTACAATCTCACCCTTGCGGTTGCGTGTTCTATGATGTACGCCTTCCCCAAATATCGTCTACAAGCTTCTCCAGACTGTGACACCCTAGCTGTCTGCGCAGACTGCCTCGCCTGTCTTTTGGCCACTCCTTCAACATGTACGCGATGCTATTGAAGACAAACTCCATCTCATTGGGATTAGTTACAAACAGGCAGTTCCATAGGTTGAGGGTAGCAGCTGCCGCTTCAGCAGAGACAGCATCAGGCGTTTCAGCAGTCATCAGGGCGAGAAGTGTACTTGCCTCTGTAGCAATGTCGCAGATAGGGCCTGTTGCGGCCTTTCTGAGAACCGTCCAGTCCTGTCCAGGCCCCACTTGACTGTGAGCTGAATCTCCAAAGTGAATATACTTTAGACGATCCATGTATGCCTGTGCATGCTTTACAGCGAAGAATACATTAAAGGTAGTTTCTTCAGTGCTTAGGGTGTCGCTGCAACAATCTGCCTTGCGAAGAAGCGCACATGTAAACAAAGAAAGTGAGACTATGCGGGAGTTCCTTACAAAAAGAATAAGGCACCGGAGGGCACGCACCTCCAGTGGTGTCAGCACAGGCATCCTTCTACGTGTGCAAAGACGGAACTTATTTCTCAGAAGCACAATGTCCGTCTGACCAGAAAGAAAGGGAACGAGGGCAAGATCCAGCTGGCTAATCTCGTAGAGCGCGCCCAGTACAACCTCCATAATAGGCTCTAATATAAAGGCTGGGCTAAACGTGACGAGGCTGCGCAGAAACTCAGAGAGCTCAATGAAGTACGGGAAGAATGAATTGAGAAGCACCTTCGCATACTCTCCAAGAGCACTGTTTGAGGACGACCGTGGATTGTAGAAGTTAACCTGAGTGAAGTCTATTAAGATCCCGTAATCTACGCAGATAGTTGAGATAAGCTCGGAGGCGGCGAAAAAGACCTTCATGTGAGAAGACACAGGGGCAAGGTTGAGCGTCACAGCAGTGTTTGCCCTGAAGTCTCCGTCTGCATGAAAGTGGATGCTCTTTCCCAAGTCAATTGCTGCTCGACGAGAACTCTTGGTGTCGAAGATATGAGAGTGTTTCATGTGGACATTGTTTGTGAAATGCACATCGGTACTTTTAAGCTCGCTGGCTCCGAGTAAGCTCTCTCGAAGACTCTCACCAAGACTTCCGGTCATGCTGCTCGCCCGCAGGCTCGTCATCAGGCTGCTACTCTCGTCCTTGGCATCATCATCTGCCGAGCTTTCGTTCATAGCTGCAGTTAGCACGGACATAACGTACTGCGAAGAAAGAACACGCTCTTTCTCAGCGGCTGACGGTTCTGTGATAACAGGGAGGAGATCGATTGCTGAAGACAAGGTCTGCCGAAGTGCTTTAACGACCTGTCCTATCAGCGCTGTGTTAGAATAGAACGCTTGCCTAAACTGCCTATTAGTACAAAACCCTGAGAGTATGGTTAGAAGAAGATGGACTATGGTGACGTCAGCGCCATAGACAGGGTCATCCAAGAGGCGGGAAAGGATCGCAAAGATAGATACTCCTTCCGCATCCGAAGTAGAGGTGAGGGAGTTTAAACAATTCATCCTATATGTCGAGTTACGGGATATTAGTGCAAAGCAAATTAATAGGCGCTTCGTCATCTCAGGAGACAGCAGCTCAGTGTTAAGCAGCAGGCGAGCCAAAATGCAAAAGAAGTCCAACCTCAAGAGCGCGCCGAGGTCCGCGTTTTCTAAAAACACTTGGTTGCGCACAGACATAATGTCTGAAGACAACGGGGTCATGCACAGAATAACTACCTCCAGCAGTAGATACAAACACTCGTGCGAAGGCGCGATGGTTGCACTGTCTTGCGCTGCAAAGATTGAAGCTATTGTGCACAACACGCGAGCCTCGTCCATACACTCTCTGATACTTGGGAAGCGGAGGACAGCAATGATCGCCCGCGTAACTTGCACAAAGCTTTCTTCATGGGCGCCAGAGACACCGCTCAGATTGTCTGGAACAAAGGGCTGGCTGCACCAGAGACTGTTGTGAAGTTTTCTCACAAGGTAGATGAGGATGGCGAGTGCAGTCTTGTGGTTGAAGTGCAGCACTGGAGAGTCCTCTTGATCGAGCTCCACCTGAGGCTTCTGTTTGCGCTGGTGGGCTTCGTTGACCAGCTGCACCGTTGGGTGTGGGCGCACAGGGAGGACTCGTCCAGTGGGATCTGTTGTTTCAAAGAGACAGACGCCGCCACTTACATTGTTGAAGAGAACTTCAATGAGAACTGCAGAGGCATCCAGCTGCCAGTCATAGTCAAGGCTGTGTGTACAGTCTACTAATGCTGATAGCAGAGCTGAATCCATACACATCTGCGTGAAGTATGTTCTGTCGCTTGCGCTGGGGGACCGCAGAAGAGTCACCAGGGTCTGAATAGCATAAAACTGTCCGAATGGTTGCCCGTTAGTTATCAGATAGACCAGTGCGTTAATCACGTTTTCAGACTTAAAGTGTGCGTGCTTCTTGGTATCCTGCGCAAATGCGTAAAGCGCAACCGCGGAGAAGTTGGCAGCGAGAACAAAGCGGATTGAGTCCTGATCGCTACATGCAGTGTCCAGTACGCGCTCCTTATGACTAAGCCCAGCAATCCCAAGCAGGTCCTGAACCGAGGAAAACACCAGCTCTGGTGTGTCGCGAAGAATAGGAGTCTTCATAATGCTAACTAGCCGCGCGACGCTGTCACGTGATAGGTCCGTGGGATTCTTCGCCGGCGTGATCCCGCAGAATTCAAGCGCGTGTACCAGCTCCTCCTCAGACACTAGCTCCAGACACATGCAATTTTATGTGTTTACTGTAAGCCAGTTATAATTAAAACTTCACTTTAGTGCGCAAATTAGACTAAAGTCATCAGTTCCATATTCTGTTGTCCACGTTTCAGTTTTCGGCGCTCTTCCGTATTCTATTTACTGTGACGTATCACAAACCTTAAAACGCCTGAAAACCTAATCGTTTAAATTTTCTGCCTATGAGATTTCAGGGTGTCGCAAGCTGCTACCAGCTGCTCTCTGTGATAGGCGTAGGAGCGGCCGGGACCGTGTTCAAAGGCCAATACACCGACCCAGTAACCAAACAGACGTCTCTCTGCGCCCTTAAAGCAATCAATCTGGACCGGACGACCGTTCGGCTCGAAACCCTTCAGACCGAGTGCAAGCTGCTGGCCCAGTCAAACCACGAGAACATTGTCGGATATTACTGCAGCTTTGTCCACCAACAGTACCTTTGGTTGGTAACTCCAATCCTCGAGGTCAACATCCAAGACTTGCTTCTTAAGTTGGCTCCAAACGGCTTCGACGAGGGGGTAATTTCATGCATCATGTACGATATCCTTCAAGCACTTAGCTACATGGAACAGAATAGACAGGTCCATCGCGATATTAAGACCGCTAACATACTACTGAACTCGTCTGGAACAGCCAAGCTTGCTGACTTTGGCGTTTCTGCGTTTTTGTGCGACGACTCTGTGGAGCGAAAAATGCGGAACACACTGGTAGGGTCTCCCCTCTACATGGCCCCCGAGGTCATCTCCATGCAGGGCCATGATTGCAAGGCAGACATATGGTCGTTCGGGGTATGCCTCATAGAACTGGCACAGGGGGTTCCTCCCAACAGCAATCTGCCTCCCATGGAGGTCATCGTGAACATTTATCAGAAAGATCCGCCTAAGCTTCCTGCGAATAAGACATTTACAAAGCAATTTAGGGAGGTAGTGGATATGTGTATGGTCAAGAACCCGAGGGAGAGGGCGTCGGCGACAAAGCTGCTAGAGACGAAATTCTTCTCAAAGCATGGCAAAAAGACCACAATAGACAATATGCTTATAGAATACAAGAAGCTAATGGGTGCACCAGTTAACGGTAACAATGATGAGCGTGTCAGCATAGGGAATCAGATCTTGCGCATGCCAGTAGTTATATCAGCGACGATACCAGCTAACTCTAACCTGGAGTCGTGGGACTTTAACGACACGAAGACAGAGGCACAGATCAATGAAGCAAAGGCACTGGCTAGTGTTCCTTCCGACCAGAAGGCGCCGATATCCAAGACAGCAACTGCAATAGACGTGGAGGGGGATGTCTCCGATGTGGGGACTGTGGCCATGACTGCTCTCACAGAGCTCATTAAGGGCTATCGTACTCTTCAGGCAGAGAACGCTAAGCTCAAAGAGACAAACGAAAAGCTCATACGACGAATAAGGATGTTCAGCGACCAGAAGAGGGAGTCTGAGGGCAATAATTGATGATACTTGATACTTATTTAGAGTACGGCTATCGTGAGTAAATAGCTGGACGGTAGTAGCTCTCACTATTTCAACTGTATGCTACCATGGGGCCATTCAATGTTGAATAGCTCGGTCAGGTCATCGTTCCAAGGATAAATCAATAATCAGAGTCGCTAGAGTCATCGCTGCTACTTCTTCTTTGAAAGACATCCCTTGCACGTTCAAGAAGCCACTGTTTATCAGGAACATATCTCTTCTTCCCATCACTGTCTTTCCTGCTCAGCTCGCCGTCGTCACTGCTGTAGCTAGAGCTATCACTGCTAGTCTGATGTCCAAAGTTGACTGTGAGACGACCCTGAGACTTCACATTGGTCTTTCCTGTTAAGTGCGTGGCTGCCGGTTTTGGCCTCTCCAAGCTGGTGTGGAGGTCCACAGAAAATCCAGAAGAGCGTGACGATCCGTCATCATAAGATGAAGTAGAATCAGAAGAGTGCTGGGCAGTATGAGCTGGTCTATTGTGTATTACAGGCCGATCGTAAGTATCGTTATATTTGTGACCTAGCTCTGCTTCACCGCAACCATACTTGAATAGCACTGCAGCGGTTTCCACATCGTTTCCAAGGGGCGCGTAGTTCTCAAGGTCGCTGGCTTGCTCTGTCTGCAGCTGCATCTTAAGTACAGAAGTGCCCTCGTTGCCAATAACAGGCCTGGTTGCACTTAGACGGAGAATTGAAAGAGAATCTTCATTGTTTGACACTGGCCCAAAGCGTGAAATGTTCCGAATGTGTTGGTCTATGTCGGCTGCTTCGCTTATGACCGAGAGAATGCTATCATCATTAGCAGTATTTAAATGATAGTTGCTATGACTCCCTACGTTGGAAGTAGATTGGTACGTAGCGGTTAAATCCTGGTCTGATAAGCCTATGGTATCATGTTGGAGGTTACAAATCTGGCCTGTTTCGGTGAAAACAGACATGCCAGAAATGACTGTCTGGTCCACGAGAGGTGTGGTTATGCGTGAATAGATCTGCCCCACTACTTTGCAAAGGGTCCATCCCTGCAGAGTCTTTGCTGTGAAGAGACTTACTAATGAGAGGATAGCCACATCACTGTAACACAAGGAGCCCTTTATGTCGTAGCCCCGCAAAATAAACTCAATGTAGGGGACAATCTTATAGGGATTAAAGTGTAGTGTCACAGTATCCCCAACCCACATCGCATGCCCGTCTGTAGCAGGAACCGGCTGAAGCGCCTGCTGCACCGGATATGATCCAAAGATCAGTTCTAGCGTCACTGTGGACACTTCATTGGGGAGATACCTACACTCCATGTTAGAGACGAGAATGGGAATGCACCCTTCTGGCGCTACAGGCTTTGGATACTTACTTAAGTGTTGACTCTGCAGTGGAGGCATCGCAGAAAGAGTGCTGGATCGTGGTGATCCCGGCACGAATGCTCCTCCATTTAGTGATGTTCCCCTATGGGAGTGCTGAGCGCCTTTTCCAGTGGACACCCTCATATAGTAGTTACCTTCTTTTCCACTGCGTATCAGTGCATCCTCTTCTGATGAAAGCTCATCGCAATACTGACGTCTTAGGAAGTCGGTGTCTTCGTGTGTATACGTTGAGGCATTAGTTACCAGTTTCTGCTCTTTGAGTGTGCCAGTCAAAATTATAGAAGAGCGAGATATAAGTGCCACGAGCTCTGTCTTTTGCTTGTACCGACGAATGAACTCATCGGCCTTGCCTGAGTTACAAAATATATAGCCAATGAAACTAAGTGCAGCGGGATAATAGCTTATCTCGCTGAAGTCGCTTTCTGTCAAAAACCGGTAATGCTTGATTGCATCTCGCTGCAATGTTCCCACTAATGGAAGTCCATGCTCTGTCATCTTCTCGGAATCATAAAGAAGCTCTGCGGTGTTGGGAAGCCCGAGGTATGAGGTGTGCGTTATTGCTTTGCCAGAAGATATTACAACATTATCATAGATTGGCTTCAAGAGATTCGGCAGATCGCACTTTGCAGAAAATGGGACTGTCGGCATGGTGACACCTTGTTCCGTGATCTCCTTCCTGTTGTCTTCAAAACCCTGAGTCAGTATTCTGCCCATGACATTTATCTGCATTCCCGCAGACTCAATGAACGGCAGCTTGACAGCTGCCATCAGCGGAAAGCAAACTAGGTGTATGTGTCCCATTCCAGTGTCAGGAACGTTAGTCTCGTGATATAGACCCTTTGTGAGTAGGAGCGACAGTTGCTTATTAGTGAGGTCACAGACATGGTAGCTGGACGCCGATCCGTCAAGGGCGATATAAATGCGAAGGATTGACTGCACCTCTACCTCTTCATTGTATCGTTTGATCTCGCGAGAAAAGCGCTCCAGGTGCTCGGCTGAGCGAAAAGCAAACACGATATGACGCACTATGACCACGAGGCACGAAATAAGCATGCACTCCGATTCGTCGTCAGTTGCGTCTGAACTACGTTCTTCAGAGTCTCGATACTTTCCTCCTCTAGCATTAGGAGGACCTCTGGAGCCTGCTCCCCTCTGGGGTTGGTGCAGAACCCTTTTATGTTTCGGTCCAGACGGTGCCGATAAGGCTGTATCAAGGCTTGCTAGCTCTCTTGCATATGCCTCTATAGAGTCCAGATTGATCTTTGCAGTCTTGGCGATGTCCTTGTAAGCACGCGAGAGATGCTTGGAGTACTGTGGGTTGTGCGTGGAAGGCGTGGACGCGTCCTCCTGCATCGCCAGAAGCTGCCTCAGCCGTATGCAATTGGCTTTTAAAACACGAAATTCAGTTAAAATGGCAAATCATAAACGGATCCACGCAACTAAAAACTGCTGGAATAGTAAAATGGCACAGAAACGCATTCAGAAGGAACTCAAGGAATTCCAGAAGGATCCTCCCATGAACTGCTCCGGAGGGCCTGTGGGGGACGATATATCTGTATGGAGGGCATGCATCTTAGGGCCTAAGGATTCTCCCTATGAGTCTGGTATTTTCTATTTGAATATATGCTTCCCCTCGGATTACCCGTTTAAGCCACCCAAAGTGACCTTTGAGACGAAGATCTTCCACCCGAACATTTCCGAGGACGGCGTCATCTGCCTGGACATTCTCAAGAAAGAGTGGTCCCCAGTGCTCACCATCGCCAAGATACTTCTTTCCATTTGCAGCCTTCTCGATGACCCCAATCCAGACGACCCTCTCAACTCTGCGGCTGCAAGGCTGTTGAAGACAGACAAGGAGAATTACATAAGGACCGTCAAGAAGTATACGCTTGACTACGCCAGCAAAAAGTAAACCCAGGACAAGCATGTGTCGACTGACTGTTGCGTTTGGGGTCCCTACGAGCCTTGCCAGGTTTACTAAGGTTTGGGGTTCACTTGAATGGTATAATGTTTCCGAACCAAAAGTGCTGCATTATGGGCCATTTGCAAAGAACCTCGTTCTGGTAATGCTTCATCATGCCTGTGTGTATTCGGCTCCAGGTGGTATCTTGCTGCAGGTGGATTTCAGAGAGAAAAGGAGACGTTATTCGCAGGTCTCCCGTTTTCACGGTCGTTATATTTTGTATCATCATAATGTACAGATTGTCCTTATGCTCGGTGAGCTTTTCTGGGAAGAATATATCTGTTGGCTTTAATCTCCTGTTGATAAGTTGCGAGCTTCCCCAGACAAAGGGGAGCATGTTGTAGTCATCCATTGACCATGCTCCATGAGAGCCTGCCGGCTCAAGTGTGTAGATGTTCTGGATGTCTTGGGCTAGCTGTAGATATGCAGGAAATAGACGCAGGCCAATGTTGATGAAATCGTCGCGCTCAGACAAAATGGAGAGGCGAATAAACGAGAAGGCCCAGCAGACAAAGTTCAGCTCGTGGCCTGTTCCATAGTCGAGACGCTTCTCACTACCAAACATGTCCAAGAAGTAGGCATCTAGTTCTATGGTTGCTTCTTGGTATTGCGCTGGCAGGATCTCCTGGTGCCACGCAGTACAGCTCTCACGAAGCTTCTGAACAAAAGTTCTAAACGACGGGTTACCATAACGGACATCACGAGAAACAGGGGGAGTGTCCTTAAACATCTGGTGTGCCTTCTCAAGGATGGCTAGCAGCTTTTTGCAGTTCTCACTGGGGTCGGGAGCGTTGCCGAATGGAAGGCCTTGAATACTATCGCTAACCAGCGCAATAAACCGTGTGATCAGAACGTAGACGGCGCTGTGTCTGAAATGATCCATGTTGTAGCGCTGGTTAAGTATGCATTTTTCGGGCTTCTTGAACTCCTTAGGTGGCTCCAAGAACTGCTCCATCCCAATCTTCGATGCACACAGTAAATTTATTTTAAACCAAGGGCGTGTTTATAGGAGAATCAACTGATCTTGGTGAGTAGACAGGTTGCTGCATTTGCTCACTTATAAGGAAGTGGTAGATGCGTTACAGTTATATTGATACTTAGGGCGTGCTTTAATCATATGTCAACAACACATACGGATTCCCCTCCCATCTGTCGATCACCCGCGAGAACATTATCGAGCACGTCACAGAAAAGTGGCCAGATAACGACCTGCCCGAAATATACGGGCTAGACAGCAACGCTACCATCTTTCTGGCGCAAAACTCCGGAAAGGAGCTTTCTGACATTATGCTGAAGATGCACAGCCACTCAGAAGGCGGATCTGCCACGCGTTCGCCCAGCTGCTCCACTGGAGGCGAGCTGGCACAGATCAACGCCATCCTTAACGGTCTGCCGGCCCTGTTTGACGAGGAGGCGGTGAACGAGAAGTACCCCACCAACTACTACCAGTCCATGAACACAGTCCTTGTGCAGGAGTGCGCTCGCTATAACAAGCTGCTGCGGATAATGAGGAGCACCCTGGTCAACGCAGAGCGGGTGATCAAGGGGCTCATTATCATGACGAAGGAGACAGAGGGAGTCCTGGACGCGATGCAGCTGAACCAGGTGCCGAGCGTCTGGGAGGCGACCGCGTGGCCATCGGTCATACCCTTGTCGCGGTAGATTGTGGATCTGCAGGAGCGCGTGAGCTTTATCAGAAGCTGGACCATAGAAGGGGTTCCCAAGGTTGTCTGGTTCTCCGGCTTCAGCTATCCGCAGGCATTTCTGACGGGCATTCTACAAAACTACGCCAGGCGTGCTAAGATAGCAATCGACGAGCTGGTCTTCGACTTCCAGGTAACCAGCGAGCCCGTGGAACTGGAGCATGCCATGACAATATCCGGGCTCTTTCTCCAGTGCGCCTCCTGGTCCGAAGCGGGTCTCGCCGATGCTCGTCCAAATGTCCTCTTCGAGGAGATGCCGAACATCGTGCTAATCCCAACCAGAAATACAGACCTTGAAGTCAGCAATCGTTACCCATGCCCAGTCTACCGTACAAGCCTCCGCCGGGGAGTTCTGACGACCACCGGGCACAGTAGCAACTACATATTGGACGTTCTTCTGCCAAGCAACGAGCATGTGAACAAGTGGATACGCCTTGGTGTGGCGCTGTTCCAGCAGAAGGATTAGGGAGCAGTAAATGCAGTCCTATTTCTTAAGGGGAGGCTCGGTGAGCTTCGCCTCCAACGGCGCGTCTCCATCCCTGTGGAGGACGGGGGCATCTGCATCCAGACCCCCATAGTAGTAGCGACGGAGGCGGGAGTCGTCTGTCCACATCGAGCCCAGCAGACTTGTGACGCCTATGGGAATGAGCTCGTTTGCTGGGGAGCGGTGGATGATGACGCTTGCGTCGCTGGATTGGACCCCCAGCAGTATCTGCAGCCCCGTCAGCTTCAGATGATACTTGTGCAGAACGTCCACCAGAAACTGCACTAAGCAGCCGGACGGCGTGTCGCTGATGGACACCTGCGCTGTGCCCGGGACGGTCGACGTAGAGGCCACGGGCTCCGTTAGCGAAATCACGTCATCCAGGGTGAACTCTGCGCTAGTGTCCAGTCGAGTAAACTGCGTGCCCTCCTTTTTGTATGCCTGCTCCAAGGAAAGAAGGAACGGAGGGGCTGCGTTTGCCAGGACAGCCAGCAGGGCCTTCTGGATTGCTTTCAGATGCAGCTGCTCCACGCTCTTGTCTGGCTCCGCCCTGATGTGATCCAGAATGGCGTACAGCCACCTGATGCAAAGGTCGAACTGCTGCGGATTTGTGAGCTTGCCCGACTGGTGCATCACCATGTTGACGATGCAGTAGTGTGATAGCACCGCATCAGAAAACAGTCGTGCAAAGAGCGGGGAGACGATGCTGCTCCGAAAGCTCTCGGCAAGGCCTCCTTCTATGGCCCCGACCAGAAACCGTCTGAACTCCGTGCGATTCCCTGACTCCCCAAAAACGTCGGCCGGGCTGAGCCTGTTCCTGTATATGACGCGGACCACGGCACCAGGAAGGCCCGTCAGGCAATTTGCAGCGATGAGCCTGTCCACAAACTCAGAAGGATGGAGCTGGTTCGGAGACACGAAAAACCCTTGCAGCTCTTGGACGCACCTGCTCACGGTGTTCTCGTGCGTTTCGTTCAGAAGCGGCTCCCAGTAGTTGTGGCGCAGCCAGTGAAGCAGGAGCGCCGCGCTCTGCCGCAGCGCCGGAAGAGGCGGGAGCTGTTGGTGCGTCGCCTCGTGGCGGACATCGATGAGTGCGTATGGAAGGCTGATGCGCCCCGCGAGGGTCTTCATGGAGGTCATATAGTTGCCGACCTGCTGGCGGTCTGTTAGCCCGTTGACGGTCCGGATTAGCGCCACAGAATAGCTAGACTGCAGGGCGTGCTCGTCGGCGGCCTCGTTGTCGGAAAGCCGGGCCGCAACCAGGGCTGCCGTTCCGTCCAATCCCACCTCCACAGCGCCCCTCAGACGAATGACGTTCACCATTGCCAGTCCTTCTTCCTGCTTCCTGACATCGTCGGAGTAAAGCAAGTCGAAGAGCGCCGCCTGGTCGCTGAGACAGAGAGTGCTTATTGATTTCATAAGTTTTTGGCGTGCAGGGTCTAGTTCAACCAGCAGGGGCTCTGCAAGTGGCGCATATCCACGCATGCACGTGCTGGGCTGGTAGGCGAGACGAACAGGACGGCTAATGGCTCGTGACCGTTTACATAGTCGGAAATCCTCAACAATACTTCATGATCGAGACTCCATTCTGCTGAAATAGCTATATCATACGTGGCCTGTTCATTACTCGTCCTTACTGATCAAGGATACACCGTCATTCATCAACATGACGCTGTGTCATATACCGCTATAGGTTCCTACTGATGTGACCTATCCTGTGGTATAAGAACATGTTCATAGAGACTCTTACTGGTCACTATGAGAGAATGGCTCTATCCCCTTATAGCTCTTTGGCAATGTCAAAAGGTCTATTACCAGAGTGGACTCAACCCCATTTACATGTGGTCTGTATATCTGCTTTTCCCAGCAGTTTTCTCTGCGGCTATTGCTAGTGCTATAAAGAAAGGTCACGTCATCGACCATATCCATGAGCATCAAAATTTAGTCTCCCGGCTAAATTGAAAGCTCTCCACTCGGCGTCCCCTGTTGTAATATCGAGGCTTGTCCCTATCCACTTGGAATACGCGCCTTTCGTAAGCAGCAGGACCCTTGAAATGAGAGAAAGTGAGGTCGACTTCCCGCTTCCCGGACATCCAAGAATCAGTAGGAGGGGAGAAAGGACGGCATAAACGAGGGCCTTGAACTGCGACGGCCTCAGCGTCTTTTCTGTGAGGAGCTGCTTGCGGGGAACAAGCTGCGTGCCCACCTCCAAAGCTGGCTCTGTGAGCGTCACCCGGCAAGGCTCAACCTCTAGGTCACTCGAGCTGATGTCGATCAGAATGCTTGTCCGAGGATCTGCAGAGCTGGCTGGAGAAAGCCTCAGGTGCACCGGGGTTCTGTGCATAGTGGTGAGCGCCTGATAGATGCTCCCCATTGCGCCTTCGATATAGGAAGGGTCTCGATTAGAGACGGTAGCATATCCGTAGCATATGCAGGAGTTGTAAGGAAGCCTGAGCTTGTCATACCGGCCCGTCTCTTACGTTTCAATTTACATTCGTATGCAGATCCGCGCCGTCGACTTACCAATACCGACACCTTGCGGGCAGCGGGCTAGAGCTGGATGCTGGAGTTGACGTTGGACGCCTGGCTCAGCAGGGGCACGTCGGCGTGGAGCGAGACGCTGGAGTCCGCCTGCCGCCTGAGCTTGGACCTAGAAGAGCTGGAAGACTTGGAGCCTTTCTGCGGGACGCGCTCCCTCAGTGGGCCGCCTCTCCTGGGCCGTATCACGAACCACCAGACAAGGAAGCCGGCCACCGCAACGAGGACGAGGAGGACGACGACCACGATCGCAGCCGTCGTGCCGGCAGACGATTTTTTAGATGGAGCAGGGACTCCGCAGACGAAGTCGCTTGTGAGAGAGAAGCCCTCGTTGCACACGCAGCTGGGAGTCACGCCGTTCTCAGACACGCACCTGCCGTTGCCCCCGCAGATCGTCACGGTGCCGTCGGTGCCGCGCTGGACGCACTGGCTGCTGACGCAGAGCCCCCCGGAGACGGTCTCGTAGCCGCTTCTGCAGCTGCACGAGCCTCCGTCGGAGAGCTGGCAGTCGCCATTCCCCCCGCAGAGCGCCCCACCGGAGACGCAGGCCGATGGGTAGCAGAGGGTCCCGTGGGGGGTCCAGCCCTGGCTGCAGCTGCAGGTAGCAGAGGATCCCTCGCCGGAGCATGTGCCACCGCCGTTGCAGACCTTCCCGTCCTTGAGACACCTTGTGGGGATGCAGTCTTTGTCGACCAGAGTATAGTAACTTGCACACAGGCAGCCGTAGGTGTCGCCGGTCTTCTCGCAGGCGCCGAAGCCGCTGCAGAGCTTGTTGTCCGACGAGACGCAGCTGCTGTGCACGCAGCCGTTCTGGCCGTCGAGGCTCTGGAAGCCGGAGGAGTTGCAGTTGCACTTTTTAGTGTCTTCACTGCATGTTCCACCGCCATCGCAGACCTCGGCCAGGATGCTCTCGTGCGCCCCGAAGCATTCTTTGACAAAGCACTGGCCGGTCTTCTTGTCTGTGCGGTATCTGCTGCTGTCGCACCTGCACAGTCCCGTGCCGGCGACAGGGCCCTCTACGCATGTCCCGCGCCCCCTGCATATCATACTGGGGTCATCGGTGCTACCACTCGGCATGCACGCCGCGTAGACACATACGCTCGCTCCGACGGGGACCGTGTTGGGGTTGCAGCTGCACTGCTCGGTGGCCCCGCTGTAGCTGCACCAGCCCATGCCGTAGCACGTCTTCTCCGCGTGGTCGTACGGGTCCACCCAGACGCACCTGGACCTTCTGCACGTCCCGGTGGCGCTGTCGGTGACGAAGCTCGAGTTGACGCAGATGCAGCTGAAGCTACTGCCGCCGAACTGGCAGCTGCCCAGGCTGGCGCCGTCCTCTACGCCGCAATTCCCGTCCTCCGGGCAGCTGCTGCGGTAGCACCGCCTGTTCGTGTGCTCCTTGTAGCCGGCCGCGCAGGTCTCGCACCTCTCGCCAGCATACTCCGTGCCGCACTTGCATGTCTTCTCGTCCACCGAGCAGGTCCCCCGCCCGCTGCAGACCGCGGCCGTGTCTGTCTCCGAGACGACGCATGCCTGCGGGATGCAGAGGTAGGTCCCGATCACGCCCCTGACCGTCTTGTATCCCTCCTCGCACTTGCACGCGTAGGTGACGCCGTCGCCCGTCCTGCACTTTCCGTGGCCGTAGCACTCGATGCTCTGGTACGCGCTCCCGGGCAGGGCGTCGCTGACGCAGTCCCGCTTCATGCACTGCCCCGACGTGAGCTGAACGACGTCGGGCCTGCTCTTGCAGCTGCAGTAGGAGCTCGTCTGCTGGTTGGTGCTGATCACGCAGGTCCCGAAGTGGCTTCCGCCGCACATCGTCTTCGCGTCCTGACCGTCGAGGGTCCCAACCGCGAATACGCAGGACTTTGGCAGGCAGAACCCGTCGACCTCCTCGTATCCCTCGGGGGGAGACGTCACGCATTTGCAGGCGTAATCTCGACGGTCGCCGTGGGACGCTATCTTCGTGCACACCCCGACGGCCTCGCTCCCGCACACCGACTCGGCAACCCCTCCACTGTCATTCGTGGCGTTGATGAAGCAGTTGATCCCGACGCAGGCGTTGCCAAACAGCTTCGTTCCCAGGTTGCAGATGCAGCCGCTCGGCCCGCACCTGCCGGAGCCCCCGCAGATCACCGGTACCTCCTGGTCCTTGCTAGAGATGCACGCGTCCAGAATGCACGTCTCCCTCAGCTCCCCGCTTGCGTCTCTAAGAGTGTGCAGCTGAGCTCCACCGCTGCACTCGCACCTCTTGTCCTTCAGCAGAGACCCACCGCCACCATTGCCGCACGTGCCCAGCCCGTTGCACTCGATGGCGGGGTCGCCTGCCGACGGCCTGTACATGCACCTGCTCGGGACGCACTTGGCCTTGTTCCCGTGCTCGCTCCGCTCCTCGCTCAGCTCGTAGCCCTCGGAGCAGACGCAGCCGTACAGGCTATCGCTGCCCCTCACGCACGAGGCCAGGGCGTCGCCGCCGCAGTACTCGCCATTCACCACGCAGCGCTGATGGACGCAGAGCCCGCCGACAGATGTGTACGGGAAGCTGCAGGCGCAGAAGTACGCGGCCCCGTCTGCGCTCTGAACGCAGCTGCCCACGGACCCGTCGTAGACCTTGCACTCAACGTATTTAAGCTCTCCGTTGTGGATCACCTTCCCGGCGCACCCGGGATGAGTGCAGTAGCCCCCGAAGGCCTCCAGACCAGCTTCGCACTCGCAGCCATATCGGCCGGTCAGCTGGTTGTACGCGCAGACCCCCTTCCCGGAGCAGACGTGGGGGCTGAGGTCCAACCTCTTTGTGTCGGCCGTCACACCCACGGGCAGGCAGTCATAGCTGTAGCACATGTCGTCGATCTTGAGGAAGCCCGGGTTGCAGACGCAGGACCCGCTGCCGCTCAGGAAGCCCGCCCCGGGGCCGCCGCAAAGCCCCCTTGCTCGGTGGGTCGTGGGGCTGGCGCTCTTGCTCCTCAGGATGCACGTCCTGTTGTACGTGAGGTAGTCGCCCTGGGGGCAATCGCACTGCCAGGCCGCGTCCCGGCCGACGGTGCAGTGGAGCGCAAGGCTAGATGGCGCTGCGCAGTACTCGGGCGCCTCTGGGCCGGCCAGCGTTTTGTTGAGCTTGCACGCCTCGGTGACGCACGCCTTCAGGCCCTCGTTCCAAGTGGCACTGGGGCCGCAGTCGCACCTGTACGTGTCACCCTCTTTGATGCAGTCGCCGGTCCCGCCGCAGTAGTCGTACCACATCCTGCTGGCGCCAGTTCCGTGGTAGCAGTTGTCGTGCATACATGTCTTTCTATAGCCCTCTTCTGCCCCGAAGTGGACAAGCTTAAAGCCCTCTGGGCAACCATTGCACGTCTCAACAGACACAGATCCCTCGTTCTGTGTATTGCACGTTACCACGCCTTCCTGCAAGTTGTCTGTCAGTCCCTGCAGGAATCCGCAGTAAAACCTCCTGGTCCTGTCTACCTTGCTGACATGCACGCACCCGGGCCTCGCAAGGAAGGTGCCATTGTAGGCGGAGACGGTCCCGGAGTCGGGGTCCTTGGGGGTGCACGTGGCAAACGGGTCGCTCGGGTCGCCGAACTTCGTGTATTGGCCGTGGTCGTCGCAGACCCTGGGAGTGGTGGCTCGCGATCCGGGCTGGGGTGCCACAATGCACTTGGTTGGGACGCACTCGCCCTCGATCTCCTGGGCGACAGAGGCCTTGCAGGTCTCGCACTTGGACCCCTCGTAGATCGACGAGCACCTGCAGGTCATCGTGGGAGGATCCGAGGTGTCGATGCTAACGTGGCCGTGGCCGCTGCAGATTCGGTCGCCGTCCATCAAGGCTGTTAGGATGCAGCGCCCCGGGGCGACGTACGTGTATTCAGAACTACAGGTGCACTTTATGTCTTGTGGGTCGTCCGTTTTGCACGTGCCGTGTCCCGAGCAGACTTTCCCCAGCTCCTCGTCCATGCATGCGGGGGACGTGCACTCTCCGCTGACGGCAATGAGCATGTCCGGGCAGCGGCAGTGGTACTCGCCATCGGACTTGACGCATGTTCCTCCGTTCTTGCATGATTCCTGGTTGTTTGAGGTGAGGCACCCCACTGGAACGCACTTGTCGCCTACCTGAGCGGATTTCCCAGGAGTGCAAGTATCACAGAGGTCGCCCGTGGCAAGCCCTCGGCAATCGCACCTATAGCCAGCGCCGTTGCGCACACAGGCGCCCACTCCGCCACAGATCTCAGTAGCAGCGCTGTCTGTGCACGCGGGATATGTGCAAAACTGACCGACCGGGACTGCATTAGAATCGCAAACGCACTTGAAGGTACCGGGGCTATCTTTATCCGTGCACTCTCCAAAGCCCCCGCAGACGACCGGGGACCCGTCGATCGTGGCCACGCACTCCGTCCTGACGCACTTGTGCCCAACGCGTGTGTAGCCATCATTGCACTTGCAGCGATAGTGATATGATTCGCGATCGAGGCCCACGTCGAGGGTGCACGTTCCCTGGCCTGAGCACACGACGCCATCCGAGTCCTGGCAGGCCCGCGCATTGCACGTAGGGAGGGCATCAGACGAAGAGCTTCCCGCAGCGATCGCGTTGGCGTCGTCGCACGACTGGCAGAGGCCCCCGCGGTAGATCGGGTAGCAGTCGCACGCGTAGTCGTCAGCATCCATCCCTGCTAGCCCGGGGTCCTTCAGGAGGCAGCGGCCGCGGCCGTTGCAAGGGGCCTTCGTTGCCTCCTGGTCTGAGTAATCGCCGGTGTTGAAGCAGCCCCTCGGCAGGCACTCGCCCTCGTAGGACACGAAGCCAGCAGGACAGGGGTCGCACGAGTACGCCCCTGCGTAGTAGGTGCACTTGCTCGACCCTGTGCACTCCGTCCCGTTCACGAGGCAGGCGTAGTTGACGGCCCTGTCCGCGGGTGTCTGCCCACTGGTAGTTATCTTGCGGAACCCCGCGCGGGGGGCGTCACACGCAGCCCCCACCCAGCCCCGCCTGCACTGGCAGAAGTGTGCTCCGTCCCCGTAGGCGCAGTCTCCGTTAACACATGCAGGTCCTGTCCCGCACGCCTCGGCGAGACATGCAGCGGCACACAGGAGAATCAGCATGCGGTGATTTTAAGGCCGGGCCAGTCATGTGCCAGTATGTTGCAAACATAAGAAGGGCAATCCATGGGGCAGTCGCTTGCGCACAAGAGCGGACCGCCGCTGAGCCGTCCTCAGACGCCGCGTATAGCGGGATCAAATCGATCCGCCACAAGGCCGAGTCTGCCTGCACACGCCGAGATGCCCTCCTCCGGGGACGCGCTGCGCCAGTCCGCGCGGGAGAGGGCGCCGTGGGGCGGGGCCCGGGGTGGAGCGCAGACCCTCGGGCGGCAGGGCGCCGGTCGGATCGCCAGCCTTTTCAAAAAGCCCCCCGGAGGCGCGGTGTCCGCCAGACCCGGGCCAGTCCGGCCGCGTGTCTGCCGCCCAGGTCTGCGTCTCGCCTCTGCAGAGGAGCCCGACGGCAGCCGCGGCGGTGCCCGCGATGGTCCCAGTGGAGAGGGCAGAGCCACTACTGAGGCTCATAGCACTACTAGACTCGGGGTCTGTAGCACAGAGCGATGGAGCAGGTCTTGTCATTCAGTAGCTCATCTCGATGAGTGGCACGGTTCTATGGACACAGAGACGCTGCTTGGTACAGGTAGACGACAGACGTGAGCGCATGGCACCAGCAGACGCCTATGGACAGTTGGTGACACAATACTAGAAGTAACCAGTGGATGGAGTGAATCATCAATCAGAGCGAAAAGACTTACCCTTCTAAAAAACCATGGAACCAAGCGCTGACAACAGCCTCAAGTCGACATCATCTGAATATGACACCCACGAATGTGCCGACTATGTTGATGCGTTACTAAAAGAGCGCGATTTCCTGGCAGATGAGCTACAAAGGACAAAGAAGGAGCTGCGATATTATAAGGACCAATTCTACAAGCTGCAAGAAAAACTTCACTGTCAGAGCAGGCCCTTCCACTTATCTGGAGAACGGGCAAGTCTCGCCGATGATAGTTCTCTCCGACAGACAAAGGCGTTCATTGAGTCTGTTTTATCGAATAAGCGCAAACAATCCCAGGAAAACCTCCATGTAGACGATGATTCCTATTTATACTCAAGCTACGACTCGTCTAATAGTGAAGTTGGCACAGCAGATCTTAACACTTCTCCCAACGCATCTTCTAATTCAAAAGACAAGTCTACACGTCCGCTTCCGCAACCGGAGCACTCAGGAATAGGGCTTTTCCAAAGCAGAGAAACGGTGCTTGGCCTTAGAGCACCGCCAAACCTCCGTGATGATCAACTAGACGTCGCGTACGATACCATTGCGGTTCTGCTGAACACTATTCATGCACTACAGCCAACTGCACAGCAAATCGAGCGCATCACTGGGGCGTTTATGCGGCGAGGAATCATGCCGATTTTCCTTGATAGTTCTAAAACAAGCTTCTCACTGAATCTAGAATGCCAGGGAATGAGCCCTGTGCATATTGCCCCTCGCTTTGTCGAAGGGACCTTCATTCCAGAACAAGCGTATTGCCTCATGGCACAGTTTATGGCGAGATACCTTATTCCCAAGGAGGAAGCCAAGGAGCTTTTGATTGCACTGTGTGCACTGATGAAACGTGTAGACGACGAAGCGTGTGCACTAGCAACATCGCGTCTACGTGCAGAAATTATAGCTCTGCGCCGGCGTCTTTCCATGGGAATTCCATATGAAAAGGTCTTATCGGATAACCAGATTTACCGGCTTAAGCAGGATCTTAATCGCTTTCGGATGCTTTACATGCGAGAAGTCGATCGTAAGGCTCGAAAAGTCAATATTCACTTCCGTACTAGCACTGACGAGTCGCTACTTCATGCCATGAACAGCGAACTGCAGCAGTTATCGTCTACTATTTCAAATAGCCTGCGTGGCACAACAGGCGCTGTACTTAGTAGCACGACACCTGAGGAAAAGAATAGAGCTTCAGCACACAATACGAACTCTCCTCACCGGTCTGTAAAGGTTGTTCGCGTAGAACAGCCTCACCTCGCTATCACCCCCGTAGAAGTTGCGCGTACTATGACACACGAGTTTGAAATTCTTGTCAAGCGAGTCCGAAGTCTACTTGATCGATCCATCCGGGAGGCCCAACACTGTTGTGATCTCCCTTCCCTTCATCACAAGCTAGTGGAGCTTGCAACACAAATAGAGGACCTTCTTATCGACTGGAGCGCAAGCAGCAGGCAGGTCTTGTCCGCCATACTCCAGCTTACTTACGACACGTTTACACATTCGTAACACATATTCCTGTAGAAAGTTTCACCGCCACTACTTGTTGTTAGTCTGTAGCCATGTTCTTATATAATCAACAACAGCCTCCTGCTTTCCTTTGCTAGCGTACTTGAGGGGACTCAGGCCAGATTTATCGCGCATGTGGTACTCGTATGGCAGCAGGATCTTGACACATTCGAGATGGCCCTTATAAGCGGCATTGTGGATGGCTGCACGCCCATCGTCCATGCGGAGACCGGCTTCGATTTCTACAAGGGCGCGCACAACCTCTGCATGCCCAGTAACAGCAGCGTTGATCAGGGCAGTGTCCCCCTGTCTAGCCTGCATCTTTCCTTCCTTCTTTTTGAGAATATTAACAATGTCAACGTGACCCGCTATTGCTGCGAGAATCAAAGCTGTAGTGCCGTCGGACATCTTAGTCCCGGCCTCATACGGAATAAGAAGTGCCGCAGCTTCAGTTTTTCCGGTATCGCTACACATCATTAAGGCAGTTTTCCCTTTGCGGTTCTTTTTCCCTGCATCTGTTGCTATATGAGCCTTGATTCCAGCAATGTCATTCATTTGAACTGCACGCATCAGAGCTGTCATACCATCTGACGCGATTGCAGATTGGGCCTGAGCGACCCGCCTTGCAGCCTCTTCTAATTTGAGAATTTTATTTGTCAAAATGGTGTTTTGCGAACGAAGTTCGCTATTCTCTGCTTCTAATTGCTTTACCCGCATTGATTGTAAACTAAGTTCTGCACGAAGCTTTTCTACTGCATCGTTATTGCTCTCTGCGCTTGACGTGGCAGTCCCAGAGGGCGCACTTGCAGTCTTCGTAATCGTCATTGCTTCCATTATCTCCTTATTGTTTGATAAATCGTCTTCCAGGTTGTCGACCTCTTGCTGCTTCATCTTTAGACACATCTTCAGCTCGGCAATCATCTTAGCCTTGTCGTCAATCTCCTCGGTGGGGTTTGTATTGAGATAGTCGGCCGTGATGACCCCGTGCTCGATGAATTTCCGGTGACGAATTAACTGGGCAGCACTAGGCCTCTGGGTATAATCAACAATCATCATCGAATCCACCAGTTCCTCGAGCTCCTTGCTGTATATGCCTTGTGGAAATGGGCGTCGCTTTCCATCGCGGACATTGCGTGCCAGGTCTGCGTGGGTCATGGCCTGGAATGGAAACTCCAGGCTGCATAAGTGGAATATAACGCACCCTAGAGACCAGATATCTGCCTTCTCATTGTAGGGCGTTTTGTTGAGGACCTCTGGTGCAGTGTAGCTCGGCGTACCCAATTGGGTTTTGAGCATGTCTGAGGAATTAAACGACCGAGAGAATCCAAAGTCGGCAAGCTTTACCACATCATCATTCGTTATCAAAATATTGGCCGGCTTGATGTCCCTATGAATAACGATCTCGCCAAGCTCAAAGTTCTCTTTAGTGGGGCAATGACAGTATTCCAGTGCCAGTAGAAGTTGTCCGAAGAGCTTCCATATGCGCTCTTCGGGGATATTTGTCCGAGGATATCGGTGCTTGTCGATTAATTGGAAAAGATCACCCTTATTACAGAACTCGGTAAAGATGTAGATGACTTTCTCTACTTCATCTATCACCACGTCGTGATATCCTAGTACATTTATATGCTTCATGCGGCTAAGAAGGTTAGCTTCACGCATTATGAGCTCAACCCCTCGCTGGTCCAGTTTCCCGTATTTGACGGTTTTTCTAGCATATATTTTTTTCGTGCTGATATGCTCCACCTTGTGCACTATCCCATAATGGCCCCGCTTGATGGCCATAAGCTCTCGATATTCTGCCAGCTTCTCCGCAATACCCATGGATTTGATGCAGTCTAGATCCTAAATTTTAATCCAAAGGAATCATTAAAAAATGCCCTCAAAAAAAACCTCCATGGGCGTGGACGCACCGCCGAAGGACGCCAAGATTATGGCCCAGATGGCCGAGATGCATAAGCTTGCAGAGACGCTGACCCCTGATAGGGCACGCGAAATGCTTGTTGCAGGGCGTTTGCAACCCATGCAGATTGGCGCACTTATGTCTTCTGGCAAGCTGAAGGAGGAGACCATGCAGTTCTTTATCACCGTCGCCAAGAAGGATCTAGAGAGGATGGAGGACGAATATGAGTCTAAAGTAGCCGATATGACCAAGCGAGAGAGGAAGGAAGCTGGAGACACCATCCTGAGAAAGAAGGCCAATATCTCTAGGCTAGAGTTCTTTAAGGATCTCCAGAAAATCCCCAAGCTCAAGCCCACAAAGCTTATTTTGCTTGTTGGCTGGTCGCTTGCAATGTCTTCTTTGGACATGACAATTGTCAACATTTGCAACCCCCTTATCATGCATGAGAAGAACTTTGTCGGGCCACAAGGAGGCGAGATACCAATGTCCACCATTCAGTGGATCAATGACATATACTCTGTCGCGTTCGCGTCGTTCGCCATCCCCGCCTCAAAGATTGGTGACAGGTATGGCGTTACGGTGGTGCATAGATGGGGTGTCTCTGGGTTTGTGCTTTTTTCTACCCTCTGTGGCCTCTCCAGATACATTAGTACCGACATGACACCTTGGCCATATGGAGGTTTTTATGTTCTCATAGGGTCACGACTCTTTCAAGGGATCACCGCTGCATTCCTTATGGCGAACACCATGTCACTCTGCGGGATTCTAGTGGAACAAAAAGACATTCCAACCGCAATGGCTATGAATTCGATGGCGTTCGCTGCGGCGACAGCTCTTGGACCCCCGCTTGGTGGCATGCTGGGACAGTTTGTAGGCTGGGACTTCTGCTTCTTCATTAACATTTTCATCGGGTTCTTTTCTATTCTTTTCTGTTGGCTCTATCTCCCTAAGGTTCCTCGCTTCAAGGAGAGCAAGTTTGACTACGTGGGCACCATCCTTATCCTGGTATCTCTTATCGTGATGATCATGGGGCTTACCTTTATCCCTCCGGAAAAGAACGCCGTCGCTATGGGGATTGTCCTCTTCCTCCTAGGCATTGGCGGGATCGTTGGGTTTGTTTTCTGGGAGCTTAAGCATCCGTTTGCAATTCTTCCCCGAGCAATTCTCACTAATAAAAAGATCATCTACTCTCTTCTGGCCGGTCTTTGGAACTTTGCGCTCATCGTCACGGTTTCGTTCCAGATGCCGTTTGCCCTGCAGAACATCCATCAGCTGGAGCCTTATGTGGTCGGTCTCCTTTCCCTCGTGTCTCCTATAGCCCAGACGGCATCCTCCATTGTCTGCAACTTCCTTGCAAAGAAGATGACAAGTTACATCATTAAGCTGGTCGTATCCATCTATGTTGCTGTTCTCATCATTATTCTAGGGTTCATCATCCCTTATGATATTGGTTGGATTGTTATCTGCAACATGATGTTCTCGTTCGGCCTGGGTGTCTTCTTTACCACTAATAATCAGTTCATGATGGCTATAGCAACGCCCGATATTAGAGGTATGATGGGTGGCTGTATCCAGACCTTCCGCGAAGCTGGGTATGCCATTGGTATTGCTCTAGTCAATGTCATTCACGATCTGTACATGAATCTCAACTGGGGGAGCGCAGAAGTTCCTTACCCACAGATCAACTCTAACCCTCTATGGGTGAAGTACACAAACGTTTACTACAACGCCTTTGCTGTTACGGATATCGTCATGTCCCTTGTAAGCATCCTTGCCATGTGCTTTGCGCTTCTTTCTGGCACGAGTATATTTGAGGCGGACAAGTTCGGCTATCCAAAAAAGTTGAGGCTTAAGATAGAGGCAGAAATGAGCGCCTCGGCAGAAGTAGATCGCGCCACCGGTTCTCCAGCTGGTCCTGGTGCAGTTCAGAACCCTAAGGCAGATCCCGAGGAGGAGCCCCTAGTCATCGAATAAATTTCAACTTGAGAAAGTAAATTTTGTCAGAATTCCTGTTGTATGTCTGTTGTGAAAGATGTTAATCTTCGGGAGGTCTTAACGACCATATGGAGGCCGATCGAGCTTGCAATGCCAGCGTTTGCTAACGAGGAGAACATGCAAAGACATGAGGATCTGAAGGAGGTTTCAACCGAAATCACGGCCCTGATAGACGAGCTCTCTCAGCTAGAGTCTCGCACGTTGGCGATGAAGAAGCACTCAGAGGCTGTCGTCCAGGAACTGAACCATGCGCAATCGCTAGCGAATGCTAGAGACCAGGAAGTGAAGGCCGAGAAGCACCTGACAACTCTGGTCGAAAGAGACCTCGGACGCATGAATGCCAAGATAAGACAGTGCGAAGGCATGAAGAATACTGTGGAGGAGCGCAGGCAGGTTGGCCAGACAAATCTTCTCAAACAACACACACGACTCGCAGAGCTCCAAAAGGACGCCCAATGGCTTGAGGACGAGCGTGCTGAATGGCACCTTGCGTCGGAGCAAAAGAGCGACGACGCGTTTACACTTCAGAAATATACAGCTATAGACGAAAAGCGCCGGGGAGACTTAGAGCAAGCCTTGCGACGCCAACACGAGGTCATCACATCTCTCACTGATCTTCTTAAGACAGAGGTCAACGAGACTATGACTGCTCAGGTCTCATTGGACAAGGCGGCAATTACATTCAGCCGTCTTCAAGAATCTCGGCGAGTTGCCATGGGTCAATTTCAGCAGGCTGTTGTTTTATTAGAAAGCAAAGATACACAAGAAGCAATGCTCAACGAGCGATATGAAAGCTCTCGGCTAGACCTCGAAAACCTGCGGGCTACTGATAGACGAGCTCAGCAAGAGCTCGAAGAGGTTATCCGAGCCAGGAACGCCGCCAACAGTGAGCTGGAATCTATGGAGCGAGAAACAAATACCGCATCTGCAGCCCTTGTTGTTGCTGAAAAGGAGCTTGATGCAATGAACGGTGAAATTCTAATTCAGCGGTCGGCGCTTTCTTCTGCACAAAGGGATATATCTGCTAAGCAGGCTACCCTAGAGAGTATGCAGCAGAGCTACGAAAACCGAGTTAAAGATAGTCAGCGTTTAGACGCTCGGTTGGAGCTCCTCGCTGCTGTTAAGGAGGAGATGAAAGCAAAAGCATTGACGCTCGAAGAGACCACAGCGTACATGACAAAAATGGTAGATGCGGTGGAAAAGGAGTACGAGTTTAAGAGGAAGGAGAGCCAAGACACCACAAAGAAGCTCCAGGAAATCGGTCAGAAGCTAGCAGAGTTCAAGCGACAAGAAGCAAATGAAAAGAATGACATTTCTGGGCTTCAAAGCAGCATCAAGGGATTAGAGTCAAGAATTCAAGAATTTGAGAAGCAGATACAACAACAACGCAAGCATATATACAATGCAGATTACGAGATTCAGGCGTTGACTCGTAAGCTTAGCATTGTCCGAGGCGATCATTCATTAGAGGAGCTCATAGTCTTAAAGAGAAATATTGCAAGTCTGACGCAGCAATTGGAGACAGAACTAAGGACCGCAAAATTAGTAAAACAACAAACAGGATCTGTCAGGAGTGAAGTTGAGCGATTAAATCGCACTCTAGCAGATCTGAAGCAGAAGCGGGACAAATTGGACTCTGATTTGCATGAAAACTTGCTATCATCAAATACTGCGGCAGATGCTCTGAAAAAGCTTAACAATAGAAAAGCCGACATGCTCTTACAATTAGATAGCATGAAGATCAAGCGAGATGAACTGTTGGAAAAGTACAAGAGTAGGACTACTATCCTTTTCGGTCTTACAAATCGAAAAGAACAAATAAGAATCGGAAACGTGAAACGTTCCAAGGAGCTAGAAACAGTGAAAAGTTTGCTGGCACAAGAGATTCGTCTATTGACACAGGATCTGTCGGCAGTTCGTCTGGAGCTCAAGAAGAGGAGAATATACATCGAGAAACTGAAAATACGATGTGATATTTTGACCGATCGCGTCGGCTCTCTCACCTGTGCGGCTTCTGGTAAACCCATGGATGAGGCCGACCCTCGCACGGCACAATCGGATGCAATCATAAACTTTGGCAAAAAGAATGCAGACCTACAAGCGCGCTACGAGGAATATTCAGCTAAACTTAAGCAGGCAGAGGTGGAAGTTGCTGGGCTACAGCAAGCGTTGGAACTTTTACGGGCAAGCAATGCACAAATTCGCAAAAGTGTGCGACCAGCCACGCCAGGTAGCGCTTTGACGGAGGAGAAGAAGCAAGTAGAAAGTGAGATAGAACAGACAAACAGCGAAATAGCCTACCTTAACACTAACATCAGAAAGATCGTGAATGAAATATCCAACCTAACTAGAAGGAACGAAGAGCTTCAGGCACAAGTAGATGAGTTGGCAGTAACACTACATGACGTCGAGTACGGCGAATAAACTTGATAGATGTTCTTTCGATGAATCGGATCTTTTTATACTGTGGATGTGTCTCTGTGCTTGGACGATCTGCTCTTGCGTACTAAATGGAAGCAGTAAGCGAATGAGATCAACATTGTTGTTATGGACAGCATACGTTAGTGCAGACCAACCCCACCGGTTGATTAGATTCCCCTCCCGCCGAGCAAGCTCTGCTATCGCTCTACTATCTATTATGGTATTGTCCCGAACAGCATAAAGCAAAGCAGTCCAGCCACTGGAGTCCTGAAGACCTCCCTCGTGTTCAAGCAAAAGCAGAACAAGATCCCAGGCGGCATGCTCCACTGCATATATGAGAGAAGTTTTTCCTTTGTTATCGACCCTTCCTAAAGTTGCTTGACAAAATGGGTAAAAGATAGGTTTGTTCAGGATCCCCAGTAGCATGAGAGGTGTGATCCCATCAGAGCACGCAATATCTCCCTCTCTTTTGGATAAAATATATAAAATTGTTTCATATTCTGGATTGCAAGACGATAACTGTATAAGACAGATCATAAAAGCCGTAACCCTAGTGATGGTTTGATAGGTCTTAGTACTGATCCCAGGAGATAGAAGAGTAATGGGAATTGTTTTAGGGGTTGTCATTCCACCCTCAATCTTCACTAAGGCCACGACCGCCTTAGTATTTCCGCGTCGAGCAGCTTCCATTAATGCTGTATATCCGGAAGCATTATATTTCCCTGCCATCTGGTGGTACTTGCTTAGCTCAGAAGCAATATCATCGCCTTGCGCTTCCATCACAGCCCTATGTAGAGCAGTATTTGATTGAGCGTCCCTAATATCCTCGTATGGAATAAGCAATTCAATACACTCTCTCCTGTCCAGTTCGAGAGCAATTGTACCTGCTTGTTTGAGCTTTTTGTTCCGCATTCCGGCTTCGAGTGGAGCTAGTGCTTGTACTGCGGATAGGTGGTCCACGAGGACAGCGAGCATCAATGCGGTGTCTCCATGGACCGTTTGTTGGCGAGTCTGATCAAGTCTTGTTAGCTTCGTACAAGGCTCAGAGAAGACCTCAAGCATTAGGTCTGTAAAGTTGAGTCTTCTTAGAGCTTCGCTTTCATAACGTAGTATCGCTGCTACATATGGAAGTAGATTGTCATCTCCAGAGGATAAAATCAAAGTGATAGCTGTATTTCCATAGCAGTCTGTGAGGCCTCCCTCAAGTGGAATGAGAGTTGATAGAAGGTCATATTGCCTTGTTTTAATAGCAACCATAAGAGCCGTCTCACCACTATTATTCTGAGCTCCTGCCAGATGTAAATAGCTGTCTAGCGTCTCTACTCCAATCGATCTATATCTAAGTCCATGAATAAGTATGGTATCGCCGTTGTCATAGTACACTAGGTTCCATAAATTCAGCGGCTCTATCGTAAGGAGACCTGGCGAAGAGTTGAATAAGCGCCTTTGTTGCTCCAAGAAAGACACTTTAACGATTGGAACACCAATGCCATACACTACTTGTTGGTATTCTTTGTGAAGCATCTCGAATAAGTCATTGACAGGAACTGTTATACTATTGCAAACCGCAGCCACAAGAGTCTGTAGCTTAGCGGGTACAAGCCGAATCGCTATCAGCTCTTGGACGACAGTGAGCAACGATGAAAGGAAGAAGTTTATGCTGGAGACGGTTGTTATCTTAGAGCTATGGCTGGGCATTGGCTGCTCACAAGGCTTCAAGAAAAGAGCGCACGTAACTATCCAGTTGTCAAGAGAGTAACATCGACACATGAATACCTGAAGGGCTTCGGCAATTTGTGCTATAGCCTTTTCCGCACAGGCTACCCAGCAAGTTACTGAACCAGAGCCCTGAACATCTGATGCAGACAGTACTTTACCAAGCATAGTGGCCGACAATACTAGCTTGAAACTTCCGGTCGAAGACTGCTGCATACATCCTAGAACAACATCTAAAAAGCTCATTATGTGCGAGGCTCTGTTGGTCGCTAAGGGCGCAATAGCTTTACTAAGAGTGTAGGCGGCCCATAGCGAGGTGAGCAGCGCACCAGTGGGATCTTGGTTGTACGTGCAGGTGGTTGATCGTTGAGTCCATAGTGAGAACACTCCTGTCGTAGGGTCCACTTCCTGCCGGAGTACCTTAGCAAAGACTGACGGCACGGAGGGCTGGTCGGGGCTTGTTTGTTTTTGTAGCGAGCAAAGGAGACGCTTGGCTGCGGCAGTGTCCGAGGTCCACAGCGGTGCCCAGGACCCCTCCACGACGCAGGCACCCGTCCGCGCCAGACACAGCGAAGAGCACGGGGCCGCCGCGGCGACGAAGAGGGCAGGCGGGCGCCGAGGCATAAATGAGGGCTACCGGGATTGAACCGATGACCGCTCGATCTGGAGTCGAGTGCTCTACCACTGAGCTAAGCCCCCGCCGCGCGGCCGGAGCACAGAGCACGCGTGTATATGTCTGTAGCTGTTTGGAGCTCTGTGTTCACTCATCCGGCCACATGAGCCCCAGGTACGAAATGGGCTGCTCGGAGCACACGGGACACGAAGGCCCTAGAGCCCGGCACGACCCGCAGACCGTCACGTGCCTGCACGGGAGTGCAACGTACTCAAAGCGTTCGCGTCCGCACACGCCGCACAGCACCCCTGCAGGGAGGTAGAGGTGCGTCGCGATCTCGCTCATCCCACTCACAATATCGGACGTAGTCCCTCCCAGCGAGGCGTCGCCGGCCAGGAAGCCCAGAAGAGCGTCCATAACCTCCGCCTCAGCTGGAATTGCGCCCTGGCGTGAAAGAAGTGCATGTGACGCGGAGACAAACCGCAGAAATACGGCGCGAGAGGGCTTTGTGCGACGCCAATCATACTCTCTGATAAAGAAAACAATGTTGCTGTCACAATTGGCGTAATCGGTGGGGAACTTTCCTTCGCTATCACGCACAGCGTGCTCTTCTGGGAGAAGCAGGAGGATAGACGGAATGTGCTCTGCCTTTATGGCATAGACTAGGGCAGAGCAGCCCAGGCTGTCCTTCATCCGGACCTCCTGGGGGAGTAAGAGCTCAATGCAGTGAGTGGCCCCAGACATAGCAGCAAGCATAAGGGCGGTGACCCCAAATTCGTTTGAACGCTTAGCTTCGTGGTCTAGTAGCAGGAATACGATATCACTGAGATTGCGACTGGCTGCGTCCATCAGTGCGGTCCAGCCGTGGGGCCGCGTCAATCCTGCTTCGTAAGGAATCAGGGCTTTCACAGATGACACACAGCCTCGTGAAACCGCATGCATAAGGGCCGTGTATCCGGGTGCATCTGTTATTCTACCTTCCTTTTCAATTAGTAGTGTAAGAGCTTCCAAGGCCCCGTTGCGCGCTGCAAACATTAGAGCACTCATCCCTTGCTGATCCTGAAGCGCAGCTTCTGATGACAATAGAAGCTCAACAATCCGTGCATCGTTGTTGCTAGCAGCCTTCATTAAAGCCGTGGCTCCAGATTCATTGCGCACACCACTAAACTTCTCTATGTTCTGCTGAATATAGTCACAATCGCCTGAGGCAGCAGCGGCAAACCAGTGTCTGGAGCATTCAGAAGTTCGCTCAGTGTCCGGCATGCTTTTAAATAATGTCGAATGGCGAAACAGCCTCGCAGCTTCTGTTGGCGCAACAGCTGGAGTGGGAGCGTGGATCGATAACTACGCCTCTAGACACACTGCAGCTGCTCAATGTCGCTATGATGAAGACTTATGGGGAGCATAACTTTGATGCTATTAATGCCATATTATCCCCTAACATTCCAGATACGCAACTTAAAACGCTCCGCAGAGATGTCCATGATCTTTCAGCTGACACGATTGTGTATTATGATTTAGATCAGCACATGTGTCGACATATCGCCAGCACTTATTCTAATAAGGACTTGCCTCTCAAGGAGTGCTATGAGCAGATGCTACAGCAAACAGATATGCTCTACATTATGATCACGCGTCTTTCTCAGGCAGGGCATCGGAATAGATTTCAGCGATATTCGCTGAATAGGGAATTTATGCATGCTATTACATGGTTTTACTTTACATTTGATGCACTGCACGTGGAGATGCTTGGGAAAATCATTTACTTGATTCATATCATCATTACTCAGCTTTCTGCCCCGCTTCGAATAAAGGATATCATTAATCCTTTGCTTCTTAGAGACATGATCCTGGGCCGGGCACAGAGATATCCCATTATGCGCATGATCAATGCATGCGGAATTATTGGGCACTTGTCAACGGACTCTATGTCTTACGATTTAACCAACGCAGCCTTGGGATACTGCTTGACAGGTAAGCAGACTCCCATGCCAGACCTAAACACGGAAAATAGAATACTCACAGACTCCTATCTTGCTATTTTTCTTGGACTCCAATATGCAAGCTTCCATATTCGATATCTTGGCGTCGCAGCTGCCTCAATCTTTTGCGAAACGAATAGTGACTTGTTCAATGCCCCCATTGTCCAGACCTATCTAACAAAGAAAAGCAGTATTGCATGGTTCAAATCATCCCCACCAGGAGTTCTTCTTCTCCGTGACATTCTCCTTGTTAGAGGATTTAAGAACGTGGAGGACAGAAGTACAGAATCACAGAAGGAAGAATCTCCGTTTGCAGGCGCCAGCATGATCAAGTGTTGCCTTGAGCTGCGTAAAAATCAATACACATCTGTCTTTTTCAACACATTCCTCAAAATGCTTCTTTCGGGCGAGTATGGGTCCATGCACAAACAGCATCTGTTAACAGCAGGCATAATAAGGTACTTCTTTTATGCTCTTTCAGAGTATTTCTCTTCACAGCTGGCCACAATAGCATGCAAGGCTATCAACGGAATCCAGGAATACAACATCTTTCCATTGGTACGCGAGTATATTAGAGCACGACCGTGGGTGGCAAAAAGGAATACTGGCATTAGTGTCCCTCCAGACGCGATTTCGACTGCTATGTATGAATACCAAGAAATGTCTACTAATACTCATATTGTGGCTACACATAGTATTTTCTTGAAGCTTGTATTTCGGTTTTTCCTTGTGCAATCACCTTCTGACTCCACACAGCAATTTCCGGTATCATATCTTCTTTCTCCGACAGAACTTAGCATAATGCGTTTTTCCATGCCACCATGCTATGACACCTTTGGTTGCGGATCGCACCCACTCACTTCTAAGGGATTCATATCCACGTTAATCGATCTTTTTATATACATGCCACTAAGTGACACAAGGCGGCAGTGGATATACATTATAATTGCATGCCTCATAAAGGGTGCGCTCTCATTTGAAAAGAGCTATTTTTCTAAGTATAAGATCTTTGACTATGTTATAAATGTGCTTAAATTTCATCGCTCTTGGCTCGATCTTTCCATTCCAGACTTTGAGAAGGAAACAATTAGCGCATTGGATATTCTAGGCGCTCTTATCTATCGTAACACGAAATTTATCCAGAAGAAATTTGATTCTAATCCTTCCAATGCACAGTTGCTTCTTGAATGTTTGACCCACAGTGTCAATCTTTCTTCTTCCTGCCTTAGAAGCTGCGTCCAGACTGTTGCTGAAGTGGTAGAAGAATATCGGCAAGTATTCAAGTGTAGCAGAACAAACTGGATTGGACTGGACCTGTCCACTTCTTCATCCTCCACGTTTATGACTGGGATCCAAAGCAATACCGAGTCTCGACTGCTGCACACAGTGGCTACCAATTGGGTTAATATTATCTCTTTCCTATTCACTATGCGAATAGAAGCCCTACAACCTCCCACAATTTCTATAATAACAACCGCTCTTACCATGCTCGATACCGCACAGTTTCATAGCGAAGACTCTGCAGGAGACATCCTGCGTTCTGCCCTTCTTGGCCCTCTTCTTTATCTGAAGATCCATAAGCATGAAATTGAGAGGGAATTTACTGTATCTGAAGAAATCAGAAACATCTTTGCCGATAGAGGAATTAGATTTTCTCGTCAAAAGATCACATATTATTTCCAACAATATTGCAAAGAGCATATAGACACTGCCTTCAAAAACTGCACTGAGGAGGAACTGAAAGCAATGTATCAGAAGTATAGTAAGCGCTCCCCTCCATTTTCTACTCCTGCATCAATGAGCAAATGCGGAACGTTCGAAATGCGTTTTCCTTGGGAAAATATAATGAACTATCTTGCAGAACTATCTTTGCGGAGCCACTTTTGCGTCGCAAGTTTAAATGGAGCAGAATGGAATCTTTATGGCCACGCTCTACTGGAGTCCCAAACACTTGACAATATTCTATACAATAACCCTTGCCCAAACGTGATAATCACATACAGAATGATGCGTGCGTGGCTCATGACTTCTTTGATCAGGACAGATAGAACTAGATGGAGAGCTTATGGAGCAAATATCAACATCCCTAGACTTAGAGTGATCTGTCAGAACCTTCTCGAGGAGTTAAGACTCCTCATATGTGAAGTATATGGCCATGAGGTCCTAAAGCGTCTTCTCAATACTGAAGGACCCACGCAACCCATTCTCTTTGACGAAGAAAGTAATGAGTAGGGACTACAGGGTTATTTCTTGGCAAAGAGGCCTTTATACATGACAGAAGGCAGTGGTGCTTCATCATATGCCCTAATAATGCGCCCTGTACCCACACCATAGTAATTTCCGCGAGAAACAGAAGCAGTATGGATATCCGGGTGCCCTGGCACCGACCTGATTCCTGCACTATGAAACTGGCCTGACGATTTGGACCTGTTTGCCATTAGCATAGGATTTATATCTTGTTTTACTGGCTGCGGTGGCGGCTGTTGTTGTTTTGATAACGTGACCTGTGTTGATTTTTGCCCAGCCTGGATGATGCTTTCGGCATATTCTCGAACGCCGAACTTGAGCATAGCGCGCAGTTTAGACAGTAGCTCAGCATCTCTAGTTTTCTCAATTTTATCATTTCTGGGTGGGCCCTGAGGCAATAGCACAGGGGCTTGGATGCCTTTAAATATGATGGATCGACTTGCTATGCCGTACTCAAATTCCAAGAGCGCACGCTTTAGTAAACTGTCAAATGGTTCTGATTCGGGGGCGTCGTTTGGCAGCCCAGTTGGTGCCCCAATGGAGCCTGTATTCGCGTTGACACCCGTACCCGTAGTGGCGCTCGCAGTAGAATAAGGGGGAGCATGTAGGCCTGGTTCCGGAGACCTTCGCAGTGGTGATTCCGGACGAATCTGCCGCTCTAGGACAGGAACACTGGAAGATGAGTGCATGTCAGCGACAGGAACAATATTATTAGATATCTGTCTTGGTTGTACCTTCGCCGGTGCTGCTGGGGTTGCAGATGCTGTTCGCTTTCCCGTAGCCTGTAATAGGCTAGTTTGAGACGGCGCGCCTTTAGCAAGAACATTTTGCAGCCGATCGGGAAGATCCACAGACCCTTTGTTCCGTATTCGTTGCAGAATAGAATAATATGGGTCTGGACACCCTTTTGGCAAGGGATATATTTGCACAAATGGAAGCCTTTTGAGACACTTTTGGATGTGCTCTTCATACGTTTTGAAGGTAGATACCTTTTTCTGTGCCTCCTCTGCTCCCTTCTTCTGTGGTGGCCTTGGCACCTTACTCTGTATTTGTGGTGGACGTGCCATTGTTTTCCCGTAAAGTCGCTTCATGTGCTTCTGTCGCTCTAAGCGCACGAACTGCTTTCTATCACCATTAGTAACGTTGATTACGTCAAGAACGGCATCAATTAGTGTTTCTTTTATGCGCATGTCTAAAGGCGTGTCGCACGTAAAGGACGGGCTGTGGTTAACTTCAATAAGCCACGGCTTGAAAAGGCTATCGATCATTATATCAAACCCTAAGACTTCATAGCAGTTAGAACCAAAGTATTGCTGATTCATGCTGCCGGCGTCTGGCTCTGCTTTCACTTCAGCAGGCCTACACGACATATAGGTGTGCTGGAGAGTTGGAAGCACAGCAAGGATTGTTTTAACAAATATGTCATTTATATCCTCCCTTATCTTCTGCAGATCTCCACCATCTTCAACAATCTTGTCCCAGACGGCCTGGAGGCCCCACTTGGATCCGACATTGTCCTCGTCCTCTTCTGCGTTAAAGATAAAGTTCTCGTTGCGCTTGTTAATTGCATAGTTGGTCAGGTGCATATAAGTCTTCTTCATATTCTTGACTGTTGGCTCGGCATATGGCTCGGTGGCAAAGCGAGCCATTCCATCTTCATACACTAGAAGGCGGAGAATAGGAGCTACAGAGACAACCAATACGTACATCCGTAGATCAAACTTTAGTCCGCCTATTAAGTATGGCTTTGAAACATACTCTTGAACCACCTGTGGCTCAGTGGTGTCGATAGAGTCAATGTTTTTGAAGAGGCGTATACCCCGCCCCTGGCAAGATGCAACTGGCTTCGTTATATATACTGACTTTTTGGGTGCCTTACTTATATACTGCCGCATTTCCGCTGAGTCTGCTGGTAGGTAGAAGGACATAGGATAAAAGTCGTATTCGTCTGGCATGAGCTTCCGTATCTTGTTAAGGTTCTTAGCAAGTGTATCTTTCCGCGTTATTTCATACATACTTGGAAAGTGGTTAATCCGTTGGTAGACTTTCATCCTCATCACTCTTTCCGCAGTGACTGATCTGTCGCTCCACAGCAAATTCCAGTCATCAGACTCCCCTACCTGTCGCCAGCCTCGCCGTTCGCATATTTCATGTATCACACTATACTTGCAATAGTCTAAGCATACCCTTATCCGACGCTTCTTAGTAGGCTTGGCAGCTCGCTCCACTGTTTCTCTTTCTGGGGATGTCTGCTCAACCTGTTCATCGGTTGAGGTGGTCGAGAACTCCCCATAATCCTCGAAGTTATCTGTCATGTTTTTTTGTTAGCATGGGAGATGCCGCTTGCTCCCGTGTTGCAGATAGTTTACTGTTCATCGACCTTGCTAGCGTGTTCTAGGCAACGCCAATACCGGCATGCTCTCGGTCATTTGCCGAATACAACTCATACAACGTCTGGCATAACTTCTCACCTATGTTCATCCATGAGCTTGGAGTATAGAGGATCCTATCTGTCTCATCTGTGTCAATAGAAGCAGAAAGGTCATCGCTTTCAACATTATCATTGTTCGGTTCGTTGCCAATTAACTGAACTTGTTGGAGCTTTCCTGCTTTGGCTGGATCTGGTCCATGACTGTTGGATACCTCTAAGCAGTATACGTAGGGAGAATTGTCAAAGGCGTAGGCCTTGCCAAGATTCATGAACGCTCGCCGAAGGCTACCCTCTCTCCTATCCTTGGAGCTTTTAAAGGATTTATTTAGCGCGCCGAAGGTGGCACAGTTCTGTGCAAGCATCAGCGGAAAGACAAGTTCGCAGGATGTGCGCTTCACCTTGTTGAATGCATAACAGTCTGGGTTTACGAACAGAAAGCCCCCAGATATGTTGCTATGGGAATGAAGATCGATAACAAAATCAAGGTTGTATCCCTGCGATAAGAAGTTGGTAAGTTGCGCAGGAAACTGGTAGGGGACTGAAGGCTTACTAATTATGGGCGCCAGATTTTTCGTGCTTCGCTGTTTGCCAGATGGAGGAAGGTCTCCTGCCTCTTGATTAGAAATCTCGGAAACCTTATAGAGTAGCTGCTCAGGATACCCCGTGCCGTAATTAGATCGAGAACTGGTCCTAGAAATTGAGGCTATGTCGGTATCGTAGGATGTCTCTGAAGTCTCAGGCACCGGCTCCAGTGATCTGTCTGTTGGGGTGCTATTACTGGTAGAATTAACAGGATTGCCAGCAAAATCAGTATTGCTCACACTAGCTGCAAACCCGGTAGGACTGGCACCTGTATTAAAAAGCTTCTCGGTTTGATTGTTGTATAAATCTAGTACAATAGACTTCTTTAAAAGTATTCTATTAAGAGGATTGGTTTCAAAAACAGACTCAAGTTTCTGTGGACTAACAAACGATAAATCCAGTTCTTCTGAGGGCTCTTGAGAGTTAGCTAACATGGGAGAGGCTGAGCCGCCACGTGCATCCCCTGTAAGAGCTTTGTACGGCCGCATATTTCCACGTACGATAAGCTCATAGTAGAGACATCTCATCATGTATGTTTCCGGATGCTGTTTTGAGTCCGGGTTGTAGTATGTCCGGTTTAAGTCCACGCCTGCTGCACTGCCGCGATAGAACCCAGCCATCACGCCATCGATGTTGACCATTGGTATAAGAACAAAGACGATTTTGCTGCGCAGAAACTTCGCAACTGGACTATTAGAGATCAGAAACTCTAGCAGGCCGTGGAGAATATACGAGGAAGGGACCTCTCCAGGGTGCACTCGAGCAGAGACCCAAACGATCCGCTTATCTCGAACCTCAGAGGGGAGGGATGCGTTGGCAGCGGCGGTAGATACTGGAGAACAATTGAGAATTCGTTCAATGTCTTGATTGATCACTAGAATGGGGAAGTCATTTCCATTATACGTTTTGCCAATGTTGAAGAGCCGGATAAACGGAAGCTTATGGTTGATCAATCTGCTATTAAACTTAGTTAACATAGAATAGGTAAAGGGATAAGAAAACGCAAAGAAGTAGTCCTCTATCTTGTCAAACTGGAAAACAAAACTGAGCACAGGGTTGTTAGTGTAGCACTTATGCTTGGATGATGCATAGTAAAAACACTGGTTCCGGGGGATCCGCTCCCATTTGTTGCGGGATGTTGACCGAACTAGGGGTGTTTGCTCCGACAAGAAGGTGGTCTTTCCTTTGGAAAAGCTAAGGACGTGAAAGATGTACGGCAATTTCGGTGTTATGTTAGCCACTCTAAAGTAAAACCAAAAGCGCACCTTCAGGTTGAAGTCCGGCTTGATAAAAACGTTGTACTCTGTATCGTCTATGCGTTCAGTTGTAGAGAGGTTCCCGGACTCAAAGTTAGCATCAAAGAGAAGTTCTGCCGTTACCATGTGCTCTTAATAGTTTTCTTATTACTCTTATTTACTAGCTCCAGCTCCCAGCTCTGTTCCCAGGCCAACGAGCGGCTCCAGAATGCGAAGAAGGACCTCTACTGTTTTAGTAAAGATAGACTCCACTTGACTGAATGCCACATCTGAAACAAGGCCCAATTGCTGCGCCACATCAATTTGCCGCATGTTCATTAGCCCTATTCCAAGGAAAATCCGTGCACTGGCATGTGAGAGAGATACTGGAGACAGCTTCTCAGTGAAAATCAACTCTGCAAGAATTGGCACCAAATCCCGAACAGCCATGAAGTCGAGCTGGTGCCGAACAAAGCCTCGAAGGCGAACCACGTCTTGCTTTGTTAGGGCAGCTCGTATTGCTACTTGATCTGCATCGTGGGCCAACGCCACGGTATTAGTAGGCCAGCTGACCTTAAAGGCAATTTCAATAGGGAGTTCTGCAAAATCATAGCGCAAGAGGCGTAGAAATCTGCTACGGAAACTAGTTGCAAAGTTGTTGATGAATGGATTTTCCTTTAAGCTACGGACCATAAGGCAGGTGTGTTCCCCGGTTGTCTCATTGCGCGTCTGCCGGATGTACACTGGAAGATACTGATTTTTCCTCCAGAAGTTTAGCAAGTCGAGGGTAATCCCAAATCCTACGCCGAGCCACGTGAGATCGGACGGATACACTGTGCCACAGTTCTGGAGAAGGGCTGGAGTAAGGGCTTCAATCTCCTGTTTTGCATCATTGATACTAATTCCCTTCTGCTTAGCAAGCTTCTCTATCCTTTCCTTCTTTTTCGCTTCCAACCTTTTAATTTCGGTGGGATTTAGAAGCTCTCCCTTGAAAAAGGAGGAGAGCAGTTCTAGAGTGTGAGACCCATATCCTCCACGCATGTACGAAGCATTCGTCGCTATGCGTACAACTCGGGCGCCACTGAGAGATGAGAAACTAACATCTTGGAATTGTTGGGAGAGGAGCCATGCAATCATGTCACCATCTAGGCGCTTCTGCTGGCTCAGCGCCTCCTTGACGATGTTCTGCTTCAGTTTTCCTTCGTAGCAGATTTGACATGCACACAATACAGTTGGTATTCGCTTAGAGTCTGTGATTGGAGGGCACAGGACAAAAATCTCGTGCAGAGGGTTGTCGGAGAGCAATATGAGGTCGTTGGGAGAATTCTTATAGTGCGAAGCAGAAAATATGCTCCAGATGGTCTGCAAAAATAATTCGGATTGCGGAAGCCCAGAGAATAGGGCATCCTTGTTGACGCGGTATAAGGTGCACGACTGAGGCTGTGGAAATGACGCAGCGATTTCGGGGCCTTCTTCAAGAGACGTTACCAGCCCATTCACCTGGTCCAGACAAAGAAGCTGGTTAACCCACTTTTCGATGCTATCATTGGGGGCATAACGTATGGGTTCGTTCAGCGACAATTTCACAAGCCCCTGTCCTCGCTTAGAGCCGCTTCTTTCAAGGTCGTGAAGGAGTTTCAGAGACAGTGCACGTCCCGATGCTTCATATCCATAGCAAGTACTGGAGATAAAGCAGAGCATATTTGCCTCAACGTTGTCCACAATCTGTCTCACTAACTTTAAAGGTATCGCTGCACACTCGTCCAATAGAATGGCGTCAATGAAATTCAATATAGAGCTTGATGCTCTTTCGTTGGCTTGGCAGTAAGTAGCCAATGTGGACGGCATTATATACGCAATAACTTGCTTTACCTTGCGTGTGATTCGAAGTTCAATGATAGGGTCGGTTGCCTTTGGGCCCGCACGTCTTACAGTGTAATCCCGTGCTTCTTGATAATCAAGAGCTTTGAGGCCGATAATACAGAATTCGAACACGGTCTGGACATTGATGGGATTTGGAGCAGAGATGAGAACATGGTTGTACCCCTGGAAAATCATCAAAGCCACAATCAAGCCTAACGATGCTGACTTCCCACGTCCTCTGGCCGCAATAAGTGAGCAGATGGGGAAACGCGTCGCAGTCGCCAACGCATTGGCATTTTGAGTGAGGGTCTGAAGCAGCTCGTGGCCCGCGTTCTGCTCTTCTAGTGATGCGTCAACATCCTGGTCAACACTACTTTCTGCGATATCCTCTCGAGTATACGTCTCTTTCTCGCGCACAAAGTATCGCTTGCGGGATGGCTCCCGTGGCCCTTTGCCATCACGTTCAACAGGCTCCTTTTCGAGCATGGCATTCTTGTCAGCTAGTTTGCGTATCCTATCCACATTATCCAACATTTCAAGGACCTGGATAACAAGTTTAGCCTGCTCTAGCGTAGCACAGAGAGATATGAACGTTTTTGCGAGTAGTGAAGACGACTTATGTTCGTTTTTATAGGCCGTGAAAGCAGCAACACGCTTTTCAACGCTGCCATCTTGTGCACTCAAATTTGTCATCAGATTCTGAATACCCTCGGTGATCTGTATCACCTCAAGCGTGTCATTAACAAGCAGAAATCGTGGGAGATACTCCAGCAATGCAATAAATCTAGAGTTAAAGCGTGCCTTAATATGCAAGTCATTTGACACCTCACGATTATTGATGTTTGAAAAGCGTGAGTGGAAATTCATCACTACTGCGTGGAGCTGAGAAAGGTCATGCATATTATTGAGTAAGAACAGGATAAGCCCGCCGCCGCGCACACACTCAACGGTCTGGCCAATGATATTTGGTGTGAGGGCCTTAAAATCTTGGAGAATAAGCATGTCGACTGTAGTTCCCAAGGCCAGCTCTGTGTCTCGATAGTGCAAGTAGCGTATATTTGTATTAGCATAGAACTGGGCCTCTACGGACAGTTCTTCTTCTTGCAGCTCTCCACGGTTTTTAAGTTGTCGGAACTCCTTGTTGCGTTTCCGCTTGTTCGATGAAAGCTTCGGCATCTCATCATAACACCACATGATAGAAAGCTGCGAGGTCCTTGTCATCTTCAGGATGCTAAATAAATTAGGGACTTGATAAAGCCCCCCATCCCCCACGATAATTATGAGAGAGCGCTGAAACGACTCGTACCCCGAATTTAGGAGAGTCGTAAGTCGTTTATCAATCGCTTTCAGGCTCTCCCCGCGGCTATTGACCCGGACAGATTGAGCCATGTCAGTTTTAATTTTGCAATTAATTGCAAATGCTGTGCCCAGTGGAGGCAGCTTGAGTTGTGGTAGCCTATGAGGTTTCGGCACGTATTATGTTGCTATAGGGAAAACCACGATACAACAGTTCTGTGTTACAATCTTCGAGTACTGCCTGGAGGGTACTGGTAATGTCCGAAGTGCTCTCCTCGTTGGCCTTCTTTAGCTCTCGCTCCCGAACAAGCTCAAATATGTCTCCAAATTCTTCCTTCACTTTCCTGCATCTCAGAAGCTCAACCTGTGCCAACTTCAGGGCGCTGTCCAATGACCCCTGGTCTAAACAAGTCCGTATTCCATTGAGACACGAATTTCTGAGGGCGAACGCCTCCTCGATGTAGTCCCATACTTTAAAGAGGAACTGAATCGCAGATTCGATCAAGCTCCCCAGTTGTCCGTCCGGGATCTGCAAGGGCGACGACTCCATGAACTTAGATTGCTCTCGAAGCTCGTTGGTGAAGTGCCTAACCATTGCTGCCTGTAGCTCGGATATATCTGCGTTTTTCCGTAACACCACGTCAGGAGAAATCCTCTCCAAGACCGTCTCAGTGACAGCTTTATCTTCAGGCCGTTCTTTGGCTAGAGACGGTGGTTCATGGGTCAAGCCAGCGGAATCATGGTTAAGAGAATTGCTATGCAAGTATTCCGCTAGGCTGCTTTGGCCAAATGTGCCGCTAGTAGTAACACTTCGCTGAAGCTCCACAATCGGTCCCGTGCTTGTACCAGAGCTAACATCGAGACCAGTGCTGCTACTCATGCTCACTGCACCCACTGCACTAAACCCAATGTCCCCCGAGACATGGACGGGTAGATTTGAAACTAATGGGAGGATAAAAGTTTCGGCAGGTCCTGTTTTAGGCTCATCTCCAGGATTGCAGGCAACGTCTTCATCTGCAGCTCTACTGCTCGTGCATGAGTTACGTAACTTTGTCTCCATGTCCTGCTTTGTTTGCTCAAAGTTTTCACTGGTCCAGATTTCTTCTGCTCTTTTAATGGGCTCTTCAGAAGGAGGTAAATCAGAACTGTTATTGGAAGATTGATGCAGTGCTCCTGGAATATAGACTACGGTGTTTGTATTCAAGTCCACCGCTGGTGCCAACTCCTGAGATAGAGACGTGAAGCCAGGTGCAGCTGGGGCAGAGTGTGCACTGTGAATAAAATAGAACTGCTCCTCGTTACCATCCTGTGTTGAGACAGATCTAGCAGCCAAAGCTGCTTCTTCAACGGAGTCGTGGTGGGGATCGTTATTTATCGGACTTGGTTCATTAAGCTGCGCAGCCTGCTGTGTTCGTATTTGGTTTTTGAGCTGTTCTTCTCGCTCATGCTGGTCAGCCAGACTCTCGGCAGCCATTTTCAGTGCCTTCTGGGTGTCACTTAGTTCTGCTGCAAGACTAGTATTCTGACTGCGAAGAAGCTCAATAGTCGTCTCATACCCCGCAATGCGCTTTTTTAAGCTACTGACCTCGCGGGTAAGAGTCTGCATCTCACAGAGATGCTTGGATTCCAGACTAGCTATTTGCACACGTAACCGTTGTTCCTCGGCCTTCGTTGACTCTTTAGATTTGGGGCGTGCTGCTTCGTTGAGCTTATTCCTAAATACAGCCTTTTCCTTTGCCACCTGAGCCGCCACTTCCTTCTGCAGACGTTGCTCCACTTGCTCTGCTATACGATTCTCCATCTCGGCCTCAATGGCTCTGGTGCGCTCTTCTAATGGTCTCTCTAGATACTTGATTATCTGCTGCTCTGAAAGCTGCGTCAGAATATTGGCCCGTAGCTCTTCCTTAAGCTCTGCACGCACGTCTGGTGCCATCTTTTCTCGTAGCTCTGCATGAAGCTTTATGGCCAATTTTTGCCGCAGCTTTTGTTCTGCCTCAGACCTAAGCTCTTCTTTGGCTGATGCAACGGCGTCAACTAGCCTTCCCTTGAGCTGTGAAATCTCATCATCTTTTTCCGTCAAAAGAACCATGAGGGCCTCCACCTGCTGCGAACGCTCATCTAGTTGCTGCCTTGTTGCCTGTTGAGCGTGTGCCTTACTCATCAAAAGTGACTTATAAGTTCAAAAAGGCTGTCTGAAATTAAAATTTAGAATTTCCAAGGCGAAGCTTCATGGAAAACTACACTGTAATCACGGAGCTCGGCTCTGGAAACTATGGAACAGTTTACAAAGCGCGTGAAAACAAAAAGGGAACCCTTGTTGCCATCAAGCATATGAAGCAGAAATATAAATCATGGTCAGAGTGTGTCACTCTCAAGGAGGTTAAGTCCTTGATTAGAATGAAGGAGCATCCTAACATCGTAAAACTGATGGAGGTCGTGCGGCAAAAGGAAGATCTCTATTTTGTCTTCGAGTACATAAACTCGGGAAACCTGTTCGACTTCGTTGTTCAGCAGCGCTCTGCGGGCATCAAGATAAGTGAGCTAGTAGCAAAGGACCTAGTTAGGCAGATCCTAGAAGGCTTGGAGCATATCCACCGCAATAATTACATGCACAGAGACCTTAAGTGTGAGAATATTCTTGTTTCGGACGACGGTACTGGGACACGATGCGTCAAGATAGCGGATCTCGGATGTGCCAAGTCCCTCTTGGAGCGTCCTCCACATACAGTCTACGTGGGAACAAGATGGTACAGAGCAGTGGAGCTTTTCCTTAAAGATTCAAGCTACAGCGCAAAGAACGATATATGGGCATGTGCGTGCATTCTCTGCGAGATACTGCTGATGAAGCCTCTGTTCCCGGGGGCTAACGATATAGATATGCTCAATCTGATCACCTCGACACTAGGGTCACCTACGCGAGAGGATTGGCCTGCAGGATATGCATTGGCTGAGCGAATAGGATACAAGTTTCCGCGCGCTACGCAGTCTAGGCAGGAGAAACTCCGATATCTATTCCCCAATGTCACGGAAGACTGCATCAACCTTCTCTCCCGTATGTTTGAGTTTGATCAAAATAAGCGTCTCAGTGCCCAGGATTGTCTCCGGCACCCGTGGTTTGTCAACACATGCCCTACAACAGCTGCTGCTTCTGCGTCCTCAAGTTTCGTTGGGACTACAGGCGTGGGAGGTGATGATGCCAGTACAGAGGGACTTAGTGTAGCTCGGAACGCCCTTCAGCGAGCGACTCGGGCAACAGATCTCAACCTAGATTTGCTCAATGGGGGCAATCCGTATGCACATGGAGATATTCTGCCGAGCTATGCCCAGAAAAAGGCCAAGACAACTAAGGAGTTGATCGAGCTGGACCACAATGATGAGCTACATGACAACAATATGCTAGATATGATAGATGACATGTTCTAGATGATCTGGCTGGTCAACCCTGGAGAGAGCAGAAAGAGCTCTATGGGCTCTCCTTTATCTCATGATAACCTCCTTCCATGTAAACTCTAGGCTTTGTATGACACTAGGAGCTTTGTATGTCTAGCCGTCACTCAAAAAGCCAAGAAAAATGACCCTAAATCTGACCCCCTATGCACCTGACATAGGCGTAACATGCCTCCTAACTGATCAGGTAACACCTGTTCCAGCCCTTATTAAGCTGTACTATAGTGACTTCATCGTTCGAGAACTGGATCTAGATGGAACATGTGTAAGGCTGAAGGAAACAGCAGTTCCGGTTGAACCAGAATTGGATGCATACAACTACTATCTTTCAGAGCCGGAAGTAAAACGTGTTCAGCTATCTGCAGCCATACAAACTGCGCCTGAGCTTGACTATCTCTCGGCAGAAAATCGCGAGCTGCTAGCAGCAATTTATTCCGCCCCCTCTTCCGTTTCGCTAGAGACCACATCACCACGCTTCTTCCCCATGCCATCAAGCAAAGAGGCAAGAAGATCTGTGCACAATATGCTAAATAGTATGAATCGCATTGACATTGCCACAAGTACTGTGATAGACCCAGGGGAAGGTGATGGAGAGCAAACATACAGATTGAAAATTCAGCCTCAGAAGCCAAGGGTTCCGCGCCCTTCTGAGAAATACACCCATTTTGTTCTGGAGAAAGCAGGTCTAGATACCATGCAAGCTATTATAAGCATGGTAGCTAAGATGCTCCCGCAGTTTCGGTGTAAGGTGAACGACTTCACATACAGAGGCACGAAGGACAAGCGTGGAGCGACTGTCCAGAGAGTCTGTGCAAAAGGTGTTTGGCCATCTGTACTGAGTGCTACGTCTATCAATAGTTCTGGCATGTACCTGCAGGTTGGGGACTTCTCCTTTTCTTCGGAGCCTCTGCATTTAGGAGCTCATTTGGGCAATTCGTTTGAATTGATATTGCGAGGGATTCCTCACACAGCAACGGAAAATATTGGTCGTAGATTGTCTACCTTAAAATCACAGGGATTTATCAATTACTTTGGCTATCAGCGCTTCGGTTCTAGAAGCACCGGAACACATCGTATTGGAGCAGCAATTCTATCGGGTCAGTATTCCGATGCATTATGGATGATAGTCAAGAGCTCCATAGAGTGTAAGCTTAAATCTACAGTCACTATCTGCAGCTCATTCAAGGATGTGATGATCTCTATAGCTAATAAAGACGCCAAGATGTTTGAGGACAGCTTACCAAAGTTGTTGGATGATGCTGGAAAGTCTATGGGTGCCTTTACTTCGACTCTTCGCCTAGTGAAGGAGGCAAAAGACCCGCTGAGAGCTCTTCTAAAGCACGTTCCCAGGTCGATGCAAACTATGTACATTCATGCATTTCAGGCATATCTGTTTAACCTGGCTACTTCACGTTGTATAACGAGAATTAAGAATGAAATAGCCAATGGAAAGAGAAAAGTGGAGACAAACTGTCTTCTCCTGAACGATCCCGTATACGTCAGGAGCGCTACAACTAGAATAGGGGACAAAGTTCACCTAGTTAGTACGGACGATCTTATCAAGGGAACGTATGCTCTTAATGATCTTGCCATTCCTCTATTGGGCACCAAAACAACACAGTTACTAGCAGATGCTGCATCTAAATTTCCCCAGTCTCTGCTAGCTGATGTCTACGAGGCATATAAGGATGCGTTACTCCCCAATGGGTTGTCTTTTGATTTTCTTTCCACTATGACTCGGCGCATCATCGTCCCCAAAGAGCTTTCCTCTTTGCTTCGCGCATTTGTACCAGTGGGAGACATACGTTTGTTAATAGTGATGCCAAAAGATCTAGAAATGTGCTGGATTGGGCATGCGTCTCTTACAGACATTTTAGGAATAACAGATATAGACATTCTAGCAGGGAAACAGCCCCATGTTTTCTCGGAAGTACCTACAATGGAACCATTTTCAACCATCAGCGATAGTAAGACTGATTATAGGTCCTTAGCATTGCGCTTTTCGTTACCTTCTTCTGCATATGCCACAGAGTTTCTTAGAGAGCTCCTAGGAACAACTGTGGATCCAGACTCCCAGAAGAGCCTTTTGGCGCATTATAAGATCAATATTACCAATGCAACCGAGCTGGATGATCCAGAGTGGCTTCAACAATTAGAGTAGCTGAATATAAGCTCGTGCGTATATGAAACTGCAAGAGTTGTTGATTGGATGCATCACTAGATAATATTGGGTTATCGTTTTTCAAAAAATTGATTGTATTTGTAAGTACCAATACCATCCTAAGCTAGCTTTAAATATTAGGGTATTTTGAATGATATCATCACTTTTTGGGGTAGAATTATGTCCACGAGAAATCGGTTGCTTCAGGGCAAGAGCTTACATAGGCTCAATATACGTAACTTATCTGCATCAAGACAAACCAGTGCAGATCCATATAATGTAATGAAATTTACACATTCTATTTTCTAGGAATATATCGACAAGTCTCGTGATCTGTTATATTTCACAGGTGCTAGCATTTGCAAACTGAACTTTCATTGCCAGCCCTCTCCCAGCAGGCCGCGCGAAGTCTGGCCCTGGCCGACCCGGAGCCGACGTCGTGACCCGCGCATGACGGGGCTTCTTGTGCCCACACCGCTCCTCTGGTGCGAGCTTTGCCCTTCTGTGAATGGGGGCGGGCTGGCCCGTTGCAGGCTACTTCTCTCATCGACCCCCGTGAGCCCGCCCATCTCCAAATCTCGTGGGCGCGCGTCAGTATTGTGCGTCCATTGTCTTATCCTGGTAAGGATTCTCCCATCTGCAGGTCCTCGCAGTCACTAGTGGCACGCCATTTTCGCGGTCTAGACCAACCTGACCCTTCGGAGCCAAGTGCGCTCTTGATTCGGGGACTCTTTAGTTGCCTGGGTCGACGAACAAGGGCGACGTCAAGAGAGTCACAGCGCAGCATCTACTCAGCCCCAATAATGAAACTTTGGAACACGGCTATCTCTGCTCCTGGGCCGGATGCACTGTTCTAAGCAGTTGCTAATAATGATACTGATGCTGTTTTTTCGTTAAGGAAAGCACACGCTAAACGCCGTAATGATAAGGGGTACACAGCACTTATGCTTGCGCTCCGCAAAAGCTACTACGACATTGCAATGATCCTGGCACGGCATGAACACGGAGTCCAGGATTCTCTCCAGAAGACCGCTCTTATGTACTGCATTGACCGCCAGTCACTGCGTCTCATTGATGTCCTCGGACCTTATGAGAAGGGTCTTGCCGACTTCAAAGGAAAGACTGCCCTCTATCATGCATATGAGAACAAGAACCTAAATGTTATGGAAAGGCTCTGTAAGTACGAAGCTGACCTACCAATACCTATTCTCGAGGGATCTGTAACAGGTAGAACTCTCTTGATGTTGGCTGCGCGGGAAGGAGACTGTGCGTGATTAAAGATTCTGATACCGTACCAGGCCGGAAGACGCGATAGTATGAGCTGGTGCGCTTCACGCTACGCCATAGAGATGGGTCGAGTTGCGTGCTTGAAGCTGCTTATCACACATGAAAAGTGCCTGCTGGGGGAAGATGGTTTTACGTAGCTGATGATAGCCGTAGCAATGCGCTCTGCAGAGCCACTGGTGCAATACAAGGATAGCATCCGCCGGCGTACAAACGATGGACGCACAGCCCTGATGATCGCTGTGTATAGCAATAACATCCCAGCAATCAAGCACTTGATCGCCAGTGAGAAGGGGATGCGGAGACCGGACGATCGAACTGCGCTCATGATTGCTGCGGAGAAGGATAGTGCAGAGGCATGCCGGCTCCTGGCGCCTCATGAGTCGGGGATACGCATATCCAGCAATATACACCTGAGCAACAAGCAAGAGATCGGAAAGCCAGTAGCACTGATGCTGGCAATCGTCGCGAAAAGCGTACGATGCCTGAAGTGGCTGGGCGAGTATGAAAAAAAGATGACAGAGATCAAGCAGCAGATGACGTCTCTCATGATTGCAGCGCAGGTGGGGCACGTCGAGGCAGTTCAAGTTTTACGAAGTGCCGAGGCGGGCGAGCAGGACTCTTAGGCTGGACAGCGCTAATGCACGCTGCGGCGTGGGATCATCCAAACATAGTCAAGTATCTCGTCCCCTACGAGCTGGGCTTGGTTGATGAGAATGACCAATCGGCTCTCGATCTTGCGGTGAAGTACGGACAACTGTCGTGCATAAGGATCCTAGCTCCAGCTTGTGCCCCATAGTTCGGAGAGGCAGCACTACAGAAGCTAGCCGCAGGCTCTACGGCGCCGGCGGCTCTCCGACCTGAAATCCAATCTGAGATATGTCGCTATCTTGGCCTTGGTAGAGTTAAGTAGGCCACCCTTCATTTAGTACGGGGCTGTTATTAGTTAACGCCGAAGCAGAGATCCGCGCATGGAGACATCAGCTATGCTTCATATGCTCTCCGTCGACCACATTATGCACGCGCTTGTAAGTAGGCCGGTACGTTTCAGGGTTGTGCTTTTATTTTGACAAACTTATTGACTGGAAGAATGTAAGACTCGGCTACGTTTTGGGTAAACAACAAGTACAACCACTTTAGTGGTGGCTCCCTGGAGACCACGCGTAGTAACCAACGATAGATTACAGGGAAATTATCACGTTGCTACTTGCTGAAAATTGCAATAAAATGTTGATGTCTATGTCAGTCGTGCTTCTTCTGGTGCGGTCTTCTACATCTGCCAGTTGTGATGTTGACTACTGCACCGAGTGCGTCCCAGACTACCCCGATAACTGCATGATATGCCAGGATGACTATAAGCTAGACGTGGAAACGGGCAAGTGCGTTCCATGCCCAAAGGGTACATGGGGTCCCAGGTGTTCCACACGCAAGTGCTGGCTTACCACACGTGTCAATTGTCTAGAATGTAGTAGCACAGACCGGTGCTGGACTTGTGAAGACGGGTACTATGTGACGTGGTATGGGGGCTGTGGTGCGTGTGCAGAAGGCACCGGAGGCTATGAGTGTCAGGACCTCATCTGTAATGGGGTTGCACTAACGAATTGTAAGACTTGTGATACTGCAACAGAGGGGACCTGTGCAGTTTGCAAGGATTCTTACAAGCTGATTCCAGAGACCAATAAGTGCGAAGCGTGCCCCGATGGCCGAATCGGACCAGAGTGCATTTCGATGAGGTGTCTGGCCACAACCAGAGACTATTGCCTCGAGTGTCTTTCTGGGACGAATCGTTGCAGCCGGTGTTACGACGACTTTCATCCTAATGAGCTTGGAAAGTGTGTTCAATGTCAAGGGAATACCGGTGGCTACAATTGCGAGAAGACTAAATGCAATGGAAAGATATCCGAGAATTGTGCGACTTGCTACTCAGCTGAAGATGCAATCTTGGAGCCAGGGGCATGCAAAGTTTGCAAAGATGGGTACTACAAGGAGTCTAGTAACTCCATTACTTGTACACCGTGTCCAGACAATAGATTGAGTGATGGGATTACATGCAATGCGGTGTTGTGTTCTGGGACCCGCTACGATAACTGCCATACGTGTACAGAAGGCGAACCAACGTGCCAGCTCTGCATTGATGGTTATGGTCCCAATGAGACGGGCTCTTGCACGCCGTGCCCTGATGGCAAAGGCGGGCCAAACTGTGTGGGGACAAAGTGCACAGCTGATCAACTGGCCCTTGTTGACGACTGTAGATTCTGTGGAGATGATGGAGCGTGCGTTCAGTGTGCTGCAGGCTTTATGCTCGATAATAAGGAGTGCGTTCCTGTCAATGGATGCCAGAGCCCCAACTGCAGAAGCTGCACCGTCACAGAGAGAACAGAGACTTGCAAGCGTTGCCAAAAGGGATATTATGTTGTTGGGGGCAGGTGTGCACGTTGTGTCGGGAACTGCCTCGACTGTAAGAGCGCAAGCATCTGTGTTGCGTGCGAGGACGGTTATACGTTGACGGTCGACGTTTGCGTATTGAATTCCCCAGACGTAGACGTGGACTCCTGCAGCATCTCAAACTGCCTGGTGTGCCTGGCCAACAACCGAGACGTTTGTGCCACGTGTTCTAGCGGCTATCTATGGAATGCAAATGAAAAGGCCTGTGTTGTAGCTTGCCCAGATACTAACTGTATTGATTGCAATCAATCCACTGGTGAGTGCAGCGCCTGTGGCGTTGGATATGGAATGCAGGGGGCTCTCTGCTATCCTTGTACAATTAGTGATTGCTCTAGTTGCAGCTTTCGCACAGATTCTACATCAGGAGAGAGCACCGAAGTATGCGTACGGTGCTCTTCTGGAGAACTGACCACTGATGGGCAATGTAAGGAGATTGTGCGAATGAGTAAGAAGACGATTTTCGCTTCATCCGTTGGGATCGTTGTCCTAGTTCTCCTAGTGTGTATTGGTGTTGGACTCTTCTTCGTTTTTCGACGTAAGCCAGCTCAACAACTCGATGTTACTTCAGAAACTCGTCTTATGAACTCTCAGAAAAATATGGAACCGACCTCTGTTGACACCAACCCCGAATGTGTGGAGTATGAAACTGACTAGTTATTTATCATAGCATAATCTGCATTGATAATCTCGCAGTATGTGCTAGTAAATGTTTTCTTGAATCAAGAAGATGCAGCGCCATTCTAGGTAGGTGTGTCTCTTGCTCGTTCATCAACGGGGATCCAAATCTAGAGTCTGAAATTTGAAAATCAGATGTCGTCCACTCCTGGTAGAAGAGCCTTGTGCTTTCTCCAAGGCAATAGAGGGCCTGAAACTGGTGATGGATGCGCCGATCACTCGCCGCACTAGGCCAACGCTGGCCAGGATCATCGCCCGCTAGTCGAGATGGACCCACACGTGACCTATGTGAATCCCTCGGCAAGAGATGGGAGCCCTGGAGTGCTTGGCTGACAGAGGCGGATTGATCCTGACCGTACCGAAGAGTGGTGGTCTGGGCCACCTGCCTGGGGTCTGCTGCAGCAGCTGGCAGTGCCTGACACCCTCGAGTAGACGGGCGCCGGTTGTAGAGAGAGACGACCTCGATGAACTGGTCCTGATCGCTTCTGATGCTTCGGATGACACCCTTCAGAGAGGTGGCCCTGGACCGACGCCTCGACAGACCGAATCATTCCCCCAGGTGTGCTGTGCAGTGCAGATGGACCAGCCCACACGTC